ATTGAGTACTGGAACAGTTCAAGAAGATTGCCTGCTCGACAATCATGAAAAATCATCGATAATACGTGCTCTATTTACTGCTCTGTGATATTTTCGTAGTTAAATCATTACTTCTCTCCCCTATGAAACGCTACTAAGCAAATTTCTCTTTCTTTCGAGAAAAATCCTAATCGATGTTGATCCGTCAAAAGCGAGCTCGTTTTTGTCAGGTGACGTTCCACTATTACGTACCTATTGTTTTAAATTCGATAGAATTGATTCTCCAGTCAACTGAAAATTCAACAATGGCATAAAACATGGTACAAGCGAAAACATTACATCTCGGTCCGAAAACACAAGAAGATTAAGTTTTTCCGTAAACATCTGCATCGGTCTGTATTTCCACTCCACTGCAATCCTCTCAGAGCGCCAAAAAAGCCGTTCATTAAATTTTTTACTTCACCACCGCGATCCTCTTAGACTGAACTAAACGAGAAAGGTAAATTTTGTGGGGTCGTCCATGTAGCGCCACCCATTTCCATTTTATCTACGTACGTAATAGAACGTGCTTTGTTTGAACATGCTACAAAACACCGTAGAATTAATTCAGGGTTCTACCCTGTCACCTCCCTTATTCAATTCCAACATATTGGAAGCTAATACAGATCCATAAATCCAAACCGTGGGGTTTAACCCCTACCGGGCTTATTTTAAAGCTTTACTAATTCGCCCAATAAATATGCACCTGTTCTAGCGATGTAATTAACGTTAATGCCTTCATTATCTCGTAATTTATCCGGCCGCGGAAATAAAAAGAAGGAACGGTGGTGTTTGTACGAACTTTACGTCTTATGAATGGTTGAAACGGGCTTTTTTGGCTTCTTTTGATTAGATTAAAGAGGGTGGTTAAACTTTCAAGCGGTCATAAAATGACTGTGGAAGTTTTAATGTTCGAGCTTCACGAAGATTATGTGAATGAACACTGTTTCAGTTTGTTGCCGCTGGAATCGTGCAAGATTTCACGGGAAAATTCAATTTAAAACGGTGCGGTAAACAACGAGAACCAATACGCCGAACTCTGGCGAAAGAAAATCAGCCGTAAACGCAAATTTAAAATTTTAATCGTATTTTACTTTTAAAATATGTATGTGTTAGCGGAAATACGACAGTTTTATCGCACGTTCTCGAAGTCCATTTTCATTTCAAACTTAGAGATAATTACGTTCACAAATTTAATCATTTTTGCCGCACCTCGAGTAACCACGCATAATTCAACCGGGGTAGTTTGACGACGTGATATTAATATAAATATTTTCGTTGCCTCATTTAAAACTAGTTAACTCTTTCGACGCTGTAGAAATTTTATCCCGAGCTCAGTTAATTCAACGACAAATCCTAACAGATTACAAAAACCCACGTTAAAGTGTCGCCCACGGGTTACAAATTAAAAACAAAACAGAAACATTGAAAACAATTTCGTATTTGTCACAAATTCATTTAAAAAACCAATGTAGCTCCAATTTCATTCTCTTTTTCTATACCTAGCACCGACGATAACAATGTACGAGATATTTTCAAATAAACCTTGCCATTCAAACACACAAACGAACGTTGCTTTTTAATTTGTTTCAATTTCAAATCCTGATATGAGTTTCTCGTTTATTTAATATTTTTACCCAAAAAGGTCGTACCTCTGTCACTTTAAATTACTTAATGTCTTGATGAATTGTTTGCCCAGCGTTTGTTTAAAAAAATGTACAATAATTGCTTTCAACACCGTTTTTAATGCGCACAGAAACGAGGATATCACAGGTAGTAATAATTTTTACGACTTTATAGCAACGTCTTATCTTTTAACTCGAACTTTTATAACGCACAATATACACAAAGATAATAAAAATGAGACTCGTTAGAAACTAATTTTGAAAAAAGCAACAGGTATAGAACAAATGATAATGAAAAAGTTAATATTAATTCTACTACTGGAAAAAGAATTTCGTAGAACGTAAGATCCGTTATCTGGAAAAGATAAAACTGTGTACATCGTTTAATGTAATGTTTATGGTGAAAATAATATTTTGATTACGAAAAAAAGTAATTACATTATTCACAATAATATTACATAACTAATTACCACGATATTAAAAGGTGTAACTTTCCATGGAACTGTCGGTTACTAATACCTGCGTAACTAATGAGGAGTGACAATTTCACCTGTAAATTTTAAAGCGATCGATTAAAAACACGCAAACGTACTCACCTTACACGAAAAAATCAACAAGTATATTCCACGAACACGAACCAATATTATCAAACTAGCTACCATTATACGAAACTTGGCACTCTTTAAAAAGACTTTTTTTAATATCGTTGCCGATCTAATGTTTATCGTCATTTTTGAATATTTAAATTGTTCACAATCGATAGCGGCTACCAATAAATTACAGCAACAACACAAAATTTAACTGCAGTAATTATTCATATATTATTGACTTCAGTGGTAATTACGGGTCATTTGGCGATGGGTTTGCGGGGAATTTCATCATATTTTCATACACCAACCCAAATCAATAATATACACTTCAATCTCATGTTGTGCGATATTCCGATATAACTTCATTAGAAAGTTTCGGCTGAAAATTGCTCTCTGAAATTCAGTTCCGGAACGAAATTGATGCAGCACATAATTTTAGCTAATATTGGATAGATACAAAGGTTTCGCAATCAGACACTGAAAGTACGTAGAATGACTTTCTTTATTATCATATCCAAAAAATTAAATACATAATCTTAATTACCAAATCATCACTCAGAGAATATCAAAAAAAACGCTAAAACTACTTATTTTCATGCAGAGAAGGCATTAAAAACAGGCGACATGTTTTTTTCTGAAAAATATCTGCAGAATTAATCGAATAATATTTAAAAAACTCATCCTATCAAAATCAGATTTATACACGCTACGTAAAAATGCACTAAAAACACATCGCAAAAATTCGGTTTGTGTTATTAAGTCACATTTTACAGGTAACACAGTTCGTAGAATTCAACAAAACCATCTTATCTTATGACCAAGGTATTTTGAAATCGTGTAAACTGTTTATTGCTAATGTTATAGTGTAGATCTTATCTATATTTATTCAAGCATAAATAAAGGAACTTTTTCTGTTCAGTCTCTGAACCTTGGTAACCTCCCAAGCCTTACATTTTTGGCGTAATTAAAAAAGAATTAGAATTCAACAAAAAAATCATCGCTTCAATGAAAACATTAAAATTTCGATAATTTATAAACTCCATAGTGCGTAAAAATAATAATAAGTGAGAAAAACAGTCACAAAATTATATTTACATTTTTTTTAAATAGAATCACTAACTTTTACTAGAACACCTGTTTTGTTTTGGTTCGTCGAATGATAATCAAAATTGCGTTAACAAAACTGCTTATCGACTTATCAATAACGCTGATAAGCCACAGACTCGAGCCCCTCTAGAACGACTCACTCATGAAACACATTTTGATAAACATTGCCCCCGTTTCTTCGAAATGCTCACTCCATCTACGTTAACTGATTTAATTAAACAATCACCAAAATGAGAAAGTTCTTCAAAAGATGATAACTGACTTAACATCATGGCTCTAAAAACGGCAATACGACATTAATTCCATCGCAAAACACCGCTGTCGGATTAATTATAAATTCTGTGATCAACAGCTTACAGCCCTTTTCAATTTGCAATAACACAATTAAATGAAGTAGCCCTTTTAATAATTAATAAGGGCTTTTTAGGCAAATCGCACAATAACGTGTTCCAGAACATTAAAATCGCATTTGAAATACAATTGTGATTTACAAGCCAAACAAAATATTGTTACTTTAATAAAATGAACTGAGTACTCTAGAACTTAATACCTGTAAAAAAAAAAAAGTATGCGAGTATTTATAAAAATGTGGGTTCATTGACACAATAAAACCAATAGTCACAGACAAGTGTCACTTTTTAAAAGCAACCGTCTTTAATTAATTATTAGCAACAGGAAGTTGTCGGTTACATAATAAACTTTCACATATTCTCGAATCAAAATAAATTTTGTCCAAAATCGCGGCTTTTCTTTCAACGATAATCGGTTTATATTGCAACATAGTTGCAAGCATTGTACGCAGATTTTCGATGGTTGATTCTCAACTAGTCAAAATTACTTCAGGATCTGTATAGAAAACATAGGACGAAAATGTTTGCAAATAATATCTGTTTATAGATATTATAAACTTGATCCACTTCCGGTTTCACCTGAAATAAGGTAAAAATATTTTGTGGATATTATTATATCATTGTTACATATTTTTTATATCTGATATTGATAACAATCAACCTGTCTCGTGCGTCGGAAAACCACAGAGAAAAATTCCACGTTTGAAAATGAATGCAAATGGCTATTTTACCTTTACGACCACAGGAATCGACTGGAATGCAACAATACAAAATAATAACAGTAATAACGAATGCAAATGACGCAACTTCTAGATAACTTCTCCGCCACAAAACAGCTATTGAAAAAATATTATTTGAAAGAAAAACCCAAACCCAAAAACCCGAACTATCTGAAAGAGAAACCAATTGAATCAATCCGTGGCAAGGTCGACTATAACAACAAAAACTAACCCAGTAATTACTATTGCATAAAAATAGTCAACCCATTGCAACAGCACTAAATCGAGCGTGAAAAATGTGTTTACAAACTGAACCACAACCTGTGAACCAACCAAAACAACCGGAAAAAACCCAAAAAGACCTCCCATCGAAAACAATTAGCACACGAGCTATCGATAAGACAGGTACAATCCCTAATGCAATACCGGTTATTACGTTACACGTTGTACCTTTTGTGGCACGTCACGCCCACCTCTGGTCTCGCGCGACGTCCAAAACAGCGCCGTTCCGTGCCCCCTCGGACCCGTTTGTTTACCGGGGCCCCCGGAGCCCGGAGCGCCGCCGGACCCCACTCCGTCCGCGCCACTTACCAGCTGCAGGACCGTGTTGACGACTTCCCTATTGGAAACCTGTCCGACTTCAATGAGTCCAATTAGAACGGCGAACTTGAGGCTATCGTTCATAGCCATTCGGACCACTTCTTCGGGGTGTTTGATGTCACTCAGTGGCGGTTTCGTCAAATCCGCCATCGCGTCGGTTCAGTCTCGTTCGTCGCACTCAAAACACTTTATCCACCACTAAAAACAACACAAAACACGAACATTTACACGAACGTTGTTACAGTACGAAGGTACTTCTGCCATGTTGAAAAATGACAGGCCGGTTGTCTCACTGCTTGGTGCTTATCGCGGGGTTTTTTACGCGCTCGGGGGTTGCACTGCTATCGCGGAAAACGTCAACTGTCAGCTGATGGGGAGCGAATAAACGCAGGACGCGAGCGCGCTGCCAACGTGACGGGCGCGCCGCGAGAAAAACACCACGCAGCTTGAACTTCCTGAGTGTGCAAAAGATCGGTGGAAAAAAAAACTTGCTTGCTCTTAGAATCACATGTATTATAATACCTAGCGTCTAAACTGATTACATAGATTCATAATGTATTCCACTGCTCTGCAGCAACTTATTGTCCTAAAGCTAAATTTGATACAATAAATTAAAACTGTACTCGTCGCTCTGATTACCAATTTCGCTTCAAGCAATTGTCGAATCCGTCGTCAAATTTTTTAACTCTTGCTGGTCTTCTGCAGAATAATTTTGTGTTTGTTCTTCTCTATGGTTACTTTTGCTTGGGCTTGCGAAACAGCCCCTTGCAACTGGACTGGTACTGTCCCTGGGTGGTACCGCGTGATGGTACTAGCCTCTGCAACCCGTACCGTGAGCGCGGAGTGCCTCCCCGGGCCTATCACCCGCGAAACGCCCCTCTCATTATCGTTACCCTCACCCGTCAAATTCCTCAAAACTCTATACAACTTATCTTCATGTTGTTTTTGCAAAGAGGCGATTCGCCTCTCGGCGTCAGACCGCTCTAGCTGCAAATTGTGCCTCAAATTCAACACATAATACGCCAATTTCTCGTGTTTATTCTCAATATCGACGATTTGCAACTCAAGCTTTTTGCTACTACTTCTCAAATCGATGATTTTTTCAAAGTACCGGTGAAGCAAAATGCGCATTTCGTTTTCGCTGAGTTTGAAGAAGCGCTCCATTAGCATTCGATCGCTCTGTTCTTCAAGCTCTTTCAGCGGGTGGTGGCCACATATTATCGAATTTTTGTACTCCATTATCAGATCTATGGCTTCCACGGCCTCTTCGTATTGCAGAAGTTTGCGTTCTTCAGCGTCGTTCAAGATTTTTTGATTTTGGGATTGCACGTCAATTTTGCAACGCATTTCGAGCAAATAGTCGCGCGTTTTTCGCAAGTTACGGATTTCGTGCCTCAAACACTCCAATTCTTCGTTATTAACAGATATATTCGAGTTTATAGTAGTGTTTGATTTGTTCAATAACGCTACTATTTTGTCTGGTGTTTTTTTATCAAAACTGTCACAACTTCTTTCTTTGCTCATTTTTAGTTTCTCTTCTCGAATTTGTCGCTCGTACAAGTATCTGTATCTCTCCTTCTGCTGCTTGTATTTTTTCAACTTCTCCAGCTGCTTTTTAGAAGTGTAGAGATCATTTTCGAGTTCGAGCAACTTGTTTCCGTCTTCCGTCATACTCTTTAAGCTCTCCGCGTCTTTTAGTTTCTCTTCTAGTGCCACTTTTTCGTTCTTATATTTCGCCTCTAGAATGTGGTTCTTGTGTTGCTTTGCATGAATTAACTTCACTTCAGCGCTCTTATACTCCTTCCTCAACATCTGGCACTTCTGCTCAAACTTATGGTGCGCGCTCGACTTGGTGTCCTTATGCCTCAGCAAACTCTCCATCAAGTTCTCCTTCACCCGAATCGTCTTCTCCAAATCGGAAATCTTCTTCTGATTCAACTCCAAAGCGGTGACGATCTGCTTCAATATCTTCTTTTTGGTTTCGTACGACATGGCAGTCGTCTCCATGGCTTTCTCGTTTTCTTCACACTCTTCACTTATCTTCGACGTGTTTAGCGACAAAGCGGGATGGAATTCTTCGGCCGAATGGATACTCCCTCGACGTCCCCGCGCCCCCTTCATACGGTACTCATTGTTTGAGCTGGTCATGCTCTCTTTGGTGCAGGAATTCACAGAAACGTTTGCGGCGCTTACCTGAGAAACTAACTTATCGGTACTAATACGAAAATCGCCCATCAAGGCTTGGACTTTATCCAGGAGAGATTCTTTTTCTTCTTCTTCGATGGCCTCGCTCTCGCTGCTCTCGCAGCTGCCTGTGAAAAATTAAAAGCAAATGTTTAAAATGACTGTATACTAAATTGAATAATGACTGAAGCTAAATTTTGTGTTGGCAATTCTGAATTATTGGCAGCAATGTCAGTGCACAGTTGTCAATTTTGACATAAACCAATGAGAACATGGTGGCTACTGGATTGGTGTACAAAAATTACAATGTTGCCAATTTGACAAAAAAATCACAAACAGTGTCACTCGGTATATTAAAACATTGTCACTCGGTAGATTAAAATTTGTAGATTGTAACCATAAACCACTTAAAAAAATTGTATTTATGAACTTGTATTTTACCCTCAATTTCCTCCTCAATCCTTTCCAATGAACGATGCGGTTCTGAATTTTCGCTCAGACAATCTTCACACTCTTGCTTCAGCATCAGCCACTGCGAAATGAGCTCTTGATCGGTTTTTGGTAAAACATCGTTAGCGACTAGTCTTTGGAAGAGTTCTTCGGCATTTGATACTAACTTGAAGAGTTGGTTAGCAGCAAACTGGAGACCAAACACATCACAGTTCTCTTGTACTGACTCAAATGTGGTGTATGAGTTAACAGTGACAAAATTCTTGATCATTTGGGCCCTCATTGCCAACTGGAGCGTGTACAGAGTCTCCGTGAAATCCTGAATTAACGGGGAAATACAACAAAGAAGAAGAGTCTTAGCGCGCCCGCCAAAAGAGTCCTTAAGAAGCGTGGTAAGCACTGATTGAGTATATGGAACGAAATGATTGTACTGCGGCTGACAAGCCTCCGACAGAGTCATTATACACCGCTGCAGCGTCTGAATCCCCAAGTCTGTGGGTATGGTCTGCATCATACCATTACTATCATACACTAAAACTTTCTCAGTACTGGCCAAATCGGCGAAACTCGCCGTCGAAACGCGGTGTTGGACAGTTGTGTCGACGACCCACTGCTGCTCCAGAGTCAACGTGAACAAAGTATGAGCACACTTGGGGGCAATATTCGACATTCCTAGTTGGATCAACTGGAAAACGTCGCTGATATTCCCACACTCCACACTACCAACGCCCAACAAGTCCTGCACGTTTTCCCCACAGATTTGCGACCACGTGATATGCACAGACCAATTCCTATCTCTATACTGCTTCATTTTGGTGAAAACTTCGCGAATAAAGCGCGGAATTACACCATGTTCTGACTCGCTTGAAGCGCAGTGGAATCCTGGTCCCAGAAGAGTGTAAGATTTGCCAGACCCGGACTGACCTAACGTCACGACGGATACGTCACAACCTTCGACTAAATAGTTAACTAAGGGGGCCACAGACGTGGTGAAGACCGTGCTTTGGCAGCAGTTGATGGGAAAGGTGTAGTTAGCTGGGTAATTTTGAGAATTTGCCAACTGGATGGTATTGTTGATGGTGTTGGCTTGAACACAGACCATGTCGGGGGTGGTGAACCCCACGGGGCAAATTCGAACTGCGGTCTCAATGTTGAATTCCATGGTAGGAGGTCGAGAATTCAACCCATTATATAACCTAAAAAACGAAACGTGAAATTACGTGCAAAATACGGCAAAAGGAAGTGGGAACTGACTTACTTTGGTGGTCTTGTCACGAAACGCAAATTTATTAAAAATCAATGCATTTTGAATGCATTTTGCGTTCCAGACACAACACAATTTAGGGATTTTGGGTATAACCCATAGAAAACCCTACAAGTGAGGGTATTCTATGGTATAACCCAAGTTGGTTTTAGTGAAATGTCAGCTGAGACAGGCGCGCGATTTAAATTAGGGGTTGTTTTTTTCAAGACAAAAAACCAATACGGTTTGTTTTTATTATAGCAGTAAAAATTAAATAACTATACTAGTACACGTTTTACTTTTTCTTCAATGGTCCACCCAAATCATCTAGCTCTTGCTTCAATTGTTTGAGTTCTGTGTCTGGTACATATTTAACTTCTTCATGCCATTCCTCATGAGATAATACATGAACGGTAACGCCAGACGGGGTACTCGCTTCTAGTGCTCTTAAAATCAGCGGAAGCTACAAATTCTCTCATAAGAATCAGACCTGACTGACTAAAATTACTACCTGTGTTGATACTACATCAGTTATTTGAACCGTCCTCTCGTAAGTTTTTAAGTTATACTGAGCCGTAACGATCTCACTTTTCGCTTTTAATGTGGTAATTTGGATTTCTTGGTGTGGGGTACCCCAAGCATCCTCCACGTTCACCTCCATATTTTTCATTAAATTATGCACAAATTTTTGATAATTTTCTAAAATTGGGTAATCGTGACCTCGTAACTGTATATTTAAAGTATCATACATCGGTACTTTGGATTTCATCGACTAAAAAAAAAACTTTACTTCATTTTTAGGTTAGGTTTTGGGGTACCTCGAGATAGCTTGGCTCGTAAAAACTACTATAGTGTAACTTAAAAGTGGCTTTAACCGGTCGAAACAACAATGCCTTGTGGGCTATTTTTCTCAAGTTGTTCATTTTACACACGTAAATAAAAAACTCGAAACGTATGATTTTTGAGGTTATGTTTACATTATTATTTACACTTTTGATTTACTTTGATTTACAATATGTATAAATTTTGTTTTCAAATTCAGAATAAGAATTTTGGCAGTTTTTAATTTTTTTGAAGCAGAACTGGTGTCAATCACTCTTCCTTTCCTCTGAAAATTCGTTTCACATTGTTTATATATTGCTCTCTCAATCGTTGTTGATAGTAAAAGCAAAGCTTCCTGGTGAAATACACATAGAGAAGCTAATAACAATAAAGAATAAATAAAAAAAGACCCCGTGTGCTATATACATACTATATAAATCCCCACACTCGTACCGATAAACAGAAGGTAAAGTCGGCTATCAGCTTTGACCTACAAACACAGGAAATAAAAATACAACACACTTAAAATTAATTAATATTGATAAGAACCTTTTCTTCGTACTTCAAGAATGGGACATATCTCAAGAATCGAATGTACTGTTCTTTGATAGGTGACACATATACGACTATCGTTTGATAAATTGGAGCTGCAAAAGCTTCTACGTTTTCTTCATAAAAAGCACCCACAACAGTCACAATGTTGTCAAAATTTTCAAAAATAAACCCAGTCGTTTTCACTGTTGGGTCCTCCACATTATGAAACACGCTCTCCTGTTCACCACCACCAAAACTCAAAGACGGGAAGCTAAAACTCGGAAGAGTGAAATAATTTGTGCAGGACTTGTCATCTAAAATCTCAAAAATATTTTCAAATTTTTATTGAACGTACGCACCTTTTGAGGAACAAATCGGGAAAAAATAGCCGCTGCTTTGACTGATGTAATACATTGTTAAGATTATTGCCAATGCCACTTTCATGTTGACGATTTTTCAAAAATTATAAAGCCAAATAAATTTTGAAAATCCTAGTGATTTTGTTGCCACGGATTGCGGGTGGCAACGCTTGATTGTTGATTATCGCATTGATGACAGGTTATTTTATTGCGAAAATTTGTTTCCAAATTTGCGATGTTTAAGACATGGTTTTCGTTAACATGCCTTCTCGTGTGTACGTGCTTAATCCATGGGCTCCCGGATGAAGGGAAATGGGACTATAACCTGACTACGGTGAGAATTTTCAGGTTTTGGGTTCGAGCATAAGTGTCATATTTTGGGTTTTCCAGGACTATAACAGCTTGGTGTTAACGAAGAGCTTGTACAGGGGGGCGCAAGTATTTATTAAAGGTAAGTAGGTGCAGGGGCGCTGAGGTCAGATTATGTTGTGGTCATTTTTAGTCAACTGTGAGTCACATGTGCACGACTTGGATTTAAATATAAAAATCGTGATTGAGCCGTCGCCGTGCTGGGATTTTAGTAATACGGTTAAGGAAGTCAATGACGTAAGTGAAATTTGAAAGGGTTGCTCAAAAGGGCTTTAGTAACCCATAGAAATCCTTCATGTAAAAGTATGAATTCCTACATTCACCTTGGGTGATATTTTTTATTACCCATTGAAATGCTTAAGTTTATTTTTTTTAATTTCCCTATGATAAAGGTCATAGGATTAAATGAAATATCTAAACAACAGTTCTTGGAAGTGATTTAACATAATCTTAACCAACACTATGACAGCAGTTACTTTGGACTTTCCAGAAATATTTACAAACTGCTTAATATGAAACTTCACTTTGTAACGTGGTTCATTTTTTTTTTAGTACTTGTAGCGGTTTAATTTGGTTTAAAACATCAATGATAAGAGAATTTTTTAGGTGTGTGTATATCTGAACTTGCACCAAGTTGCCCCGCCCTGATTGGTTACTAAAGTCACGCGTTCATAGCTCACTAAGTCAATTCCATTTCCAGCTAATGAAATCAAACCTAGGCACCACCATAAACACGTCCGTGTACCGGAAAAACGGTGCCTACAACTGCGACCACATCGTCCTTGACCCCGCCCCCTTAAACAAGGACGACAAATCTTTAATGTCATCTTCGTCAAATAATCTCCCCATCTACCTCATCCCCCACGATGGCGTCTACGTCTTGGTTTTTGAAATGATGCCTACCACCAACACCACCGACCTGAGTGTGGGTGTCCACGTCGAAATGAAAAGTGATTATGGCTACTTATCGGCCGCCGATTGGCCCCTGCTTCCATTTTACGGTTTCATGTGCATCTTCTACGTGATTTTGGGTATAATCTGGCTGATGTTGTCCTTCCTCCAGTGGCGTGATTTGCTGCGAGTCCAGTTCTGGATTGGCGGCGTAATCTTACTAGGGATGTTAGAAAAAGCCACTTTCTACGCGGAATATCAGAGCATCAATAACACAGGGATGAGGGTTCAAGGGGCTATGTTGTTCGCCGAGTGGGTGTCGTGCGCGAAGCGCACTCTAGCTAGAATGTTAGTCGTGATCGTCAGTCTGGGTTTCGGAATCGTCAAACCTAGACTAGGTTCCACTTTACATAGAGTCGTAGGAGTAGGGTTTTTGTATTTCTTCCTAGCCGCATCTGAAGCGTACTTAAGGATCATGAAACCTAAGAATGACCAAAATCGGGATTTATTGGTAGCTTCTGTCCCTTTGGCGGTTCTTGATTCGGCTATCTGTTGGTGGATTTTTAGCGCGTTGGTTAACACCACTAGGACTCTGCGATTGCGCAGAAACGAAATCAAGTTGTCTCTCTACCGCCACTTCACCAACACGCTCATTTTCGCTGTCATTGCCTCAATCTGCTTCATGTTGTATTCCATTAAGACACATCGGATCGTTCAGTGTCTCGTCGTTTGGAAAAATCTGTGGCTTGAGGAAGCGTATTGGCACATCTTGTTTTCTGCTTTGTTGCTAGTCATCATGATTCTGTGGCGGCCTACTAATAACAACCAGAGGTACGCTTTCGTGCCTCTTCTCGATACGGGCGAAGACGAAGAGGAAGAACAACTCGTGAATGACGCATATGGAGTGAAAGTGAGGATACACCACCCGAAACCGGCTTCCCCAAGGTCGAATTCTGTCGACGATGACCTCAAATGGCTCGAAGAAAACATCAAGAGTGATCCAGCTCTTCCCATTTTAGATTCGGATGAAGAACTAGTCAGTACAAGGTTTGAGGTTTCCAAAATGCAGTAGGTTTTTTTAAATTGTGAAGTATTGACGCTTTTGGCATAATGCCACAGGGAGGACGTGCCATCAAGCGTGAAAGAAGCGCGATTATTGGTTAAGCGAGCTGATTGGTCAGTTAATTATACAATGCCAACTTAACCAACAACCGCTAATTTATTTTCTCAGTGAGTATTTAAAATTTAAGTTGTGTTTTTTCCGAGAAGGATGGACTGTGTTCTCTTTAAAAATATCGTAGGCTCTATGGTCATAGTCACGAATTGTTATCTAATTTTCAGTATTAGGTTTGTTTTGCGGTGATAAATGTCAGAGATTAGAACACGAGGCTGACTAGTAAAATTCGTGGTAGTGGGAGTGAACCAATCAGAACTCAAAATTGCCTGTGGCCGGGACGACGCGTCGTGTTTTCATCTCGCACTTAGATTTTGTAAAACACACCCTCCTAGTGTTTTATAAAACTTTTTAAAATCTTTGTACATACTTAGCACACACTTAACTAAATGTTAATTTGATTAATGTATATATATCTATTGAACCAAAAAATTGTTGCTACTGAATGGCTTCTTGCAAATTGTAGACTTGTATTGTAGTAATAAAAACTTAATTACGCTAACTTAGTCGGTTTAACGAATGTCCTTTTTCTCTTCAGTTTTTGCGCAGCTCCAGACCTGTGCAAATGCGTCTGCACCTCTGAAAAAATTTCGACTTGTTCTTCCTCAGGGACAGTCCGCCTGAAACAACGAATTAGCGTTTTTTCACGACTAGAAACCCAATCTTACATGTATTGCTTCATCAAATCGTATTTTTCCCAAGGGGTCTCCAATTCTTTCGCCCTGTCATAAAACCGTTGTGGCAGCTCCAAGTCCTGCACCCCTTTCAAGTTTTTACGTTCCCAGCGGTCCAACCACGGGCGCGGCTTCAACTTCACTTTAATTTCGTTCACGGGCACGGGGGCCCCTTCCGGCAAAATTTCGATTTCCATGTTTGAGTCAAAAGTACTATACTCAGGCAACGCATCCCTCAAATATAGCAACTCGTTGTCTAGCCTCTTCTCCAACCTCAAAACTTCTATACCTTTAATGGTAGGATCATACATGTCGTACAGAATTTCAACACCCTGGTGGTCTATCACATTCCTTAACAAAAAATTCGCCCTTAAACCACACCCTTCACGTTTTATACAAATCCCCACAAATCTGTGAAGCTTCCCGGGGCTGTGACGGTCCGCAGATGTGACCGCTAGCACAGAACCTACGTAAAATTCAGGAATATCCACGTTCGCTCGTCTGGCGATCATGTCGCTACGCTCGAGTTTTTCTCTAATGGGGTTTCTGAATTCGATTTTGGGGTCGGGCAGAAATTCGGGGTAGATCTGTCGGTATTCGAGGACATTCTTGCGCGTGTCGGACTTGTCTTTTACGGGCTGTTCGGCGGGGGTGGTAGTGGCGGTGGCGAAACGACGAAAATCTACAAAATAACGAAAAAGTTGCGATATTCTTACGAGTTGGGGTTTAGGCTACTTTTTAGCTGGCGGCTGAGGGCTAGTCGAGGGGTAGTTGACAACATTTTTTAGGATTGCAAAAACCTGCAAAAGTAAGGTTATGTGCGGGGATATCCCAAAGACCTTTTATGTATATAGATGATACACAATGATTATTTAATTATTTATTTTTAATTTATATTAAACTGAAATTCGTCTGAGAGAGAATAAACCTTTCACCCGCAATATGTTTGTCACACTTTGAATCATTGTTTTGGCCTGTCTTTGGATATACGACATAATACATCTATTGTTTTCAATATCTTTGGACGAGCGCAAAATTGTGGCATCCAGTCAAATAGAAGTATGTTTAATCATTTATGGATTCAATTCAGTAGTTTTATTTACTAAAAACAAAACGTACTCTTACTTTATCGTTTAAAAGTAAGGTTTTAAGACAAATTCTAAATTTTAATTACATTAAATGCATGGAAAAGACTCTTAAAATGACGTTGCTACGTGTGAACCGGAGGACTTGGGTTGACAGCTAACATGCTGTCGTGTTGACAAAAAAACTCCCTTTCGTTTTGACAAGTGGTAAAAGTGTCCTTGTAATGTATTTTTAACAACAATAACCTTTTAAATAATGAAAACTAAACTAAAATGTATTTTTAGTAGTAACTAGATAACAATGTTAACTTTACTTAGTGAAATCCATTTTTGGAGCACTCAAGAGGATGTCATCGTGAAACACACAGATTTCGGTTCATTTAAGTAGGTAGTCAAGTTTTATTTTTCGCTTTATTCTATTAAAATGACCCCTTTGTAGGTATTACTCGAAGAAAGACACAAACGACTCTCTTTGTTACCTAAGTAAGAAAAAATACTGCGAAGACAGAGACGTACTATGGCACTTACCAAACAAGCGGCCTCAGAGACTCCGCGACCGCTTACGCGAACTCGAAGAGTACCTACTCCACAACAAAATCGTCAGTTTTTCGTGGTCAGACAACCAGTTGCAACTCCTTTTATCGACAGGTGTTCTCGTCACCCTCACCATCAACATCAAAACCGGCGATTTACTCAATATACAGTTCGAAAAACAACTGGCCAGCAAACTCCAAGTTAACATTCTGTGTGATGGCATAATCCTAGGTCAACAAATAATCTGCATTTGTAACGACGGGCACGTTTTGGGGTACGGGGGCCAGTGGAGAGAAGGTTGGATTGTTGAAGGGGGCCCTCGCCGCCATTTAAACTTCCACGGCGACTGGTTGGCGGTTTGGGGCAAAGCTGAAGCGGAACACCCGCAGCCGTGGAGCCCGTTAGGAAAAGACTACCAAAGAGCGAACTTACACTTGTACTGGGTGGGCGCGAGGGGGCCCGAATTACTAGCATACAAAAAAACGGACGGGGACCCCATTGATGTGATTGTGAGTAGGCACACCAAAAGGACTTTGATTTTAATTGAGCAGAAAGTGACGCTACGGGGATCCGTGTCCGTGGAAGTCAATAATCTGGAGTTGGTGGGGTCGAATCTCAAGCGGATTTCGGTGATTTCTGTGCCTTTGCAAACTCAAGTTAGCTGTTGCGCGTTGAGCGAGAAGGAAGACCGGTTGTTGATTGGGTGTATTGATGGGTCTTTGGCTTTGTTGGATAGGCATAGAGGGTCCACGAGGACCGTCAAGGGGCTGTTTATACCAAAGTTCGCCCGGTGGAACCCGTCGGGGGCGGTCGCTGTGATTTTAAATGAACGAGGGCAGTTGCAGTATTTTGATACAGCTTTAAATAGTATAAAGTCGCAGATGATGGGGGAGGATTGTACTCCGACGGCTTTGGTGGACTTGTCTGGGTATTTCAATACGCAGTTTACGATAAGCTCGCTCAGTTGGGGGCCGAAAGACTTAGTTCTGGCGTTAGAGCAAGGACCCATGCTTCTGATTTCTCATGTTGACAGATCTCTGACGTTTAAAGCGCTTGCGCAAAGGTACCTCAAGATGGGTAAAATAGACAAGGCGATTAGACTTCTGCTGAGTTGGGACTTCAACGAAGAAAGTTTCAACATTTTACAAAAAGTGGTCGCGTATTTATTATCCCGTGCAATGACTGAAGAAATCGCAAAATATCTCCAAGACGCTCTAGGCTGCTTCCACAGCCCCCCAGTCCCCATCCCCACCGAAATTCGAAACCGCTTCTTCACCCAAGTTTTCTCACTAACCCGTCGATTTTTCCACCAACTAGTGAGAGCCGAAATGTTCGAAACCGCTTTTCTTTTAGCTGTAGACCTCGGCCACCACGATCTCTTCATGGACCTACACTACATCGCCGTCCGAATCGGCGAAACCGAAATGGCCGCCGCCGCCAGAGCTCAAGCCTCGGCTTTACTCAGCCGCTGCTCCAGCGAAGCCTCCAACTGCACCCGCTCGTCGTGCTCGCAATGTTCGGACTCCGCAAGCAGCGAAGAACCCGAAAACCCCCAAGAGAACTTCCTCACCACCAACTTCAACCAAGCTCAACCAAAAACCTACAAGAACTTCGTCCCCCCAGTCCCCAATCTCACGTACACCCCTAGGGCCACGTTCGTGCGCGCACCGCAAGTCCCCCCGACTTTCGTGGCGGGGAATTTCAGAGGGAACGTGCAACCGCCGCCACTGCCATTCGCGCCGCCGTTACCCAACCTGGGAATTCCCTTCAGGAACACACAAACTAGAGTCAATTATAAGAATTCGTTTACGCCGATTAAACCCGCGACGCCGCCGCCCCCACTTCCGTCGACGTCGGGAACGCAGCACTACACGGGGGCGGTGAAAAAGCCGCAAGCCAAAGTCAAGTTTTCGGATACGGTGACGGCGTTCATCGTTCCTGAAATCAAGAGGCCGGTGCGGCCGCCCCCGCCGCCACATTTAACAGACCCGCAGAAGGAGTTGGCGGATAGCTTGCCACTGTGTCACCCGAATGAGGACTACTTGAAGGATTTTACGCCGATGAGGAAGAACGAAGGGGCTGAGGGGGAGAGTCAGCCGAAGATTAAAGTCGTACACTTTGGGGTGGTTTGAGACCGCAGGCGACGATGATTGGTTGTTGTTTACGTCACGTGACAGGTGACAGGTACACACTTTTTCTGTAAGAACGACGTTTTTACACTTCCTTAGGAACTAAACGTTCTTACAAAAAAAAAGATCGACTGTTTTATATTACTCGCAACGTATCCGTCCGTTAAGTACAAATATAATATTGTTTATGTATACGTTAGAGTATATATTTTTTACTTTTATACTAAAAATAAAGCGTAACAAGTTTCCGGCATTTTATTCACATCCGTCACGAGTTGCCACGGCAACCCTACAATACAAACACCAACAAATGTCAACTGTGCAGCCATAAAATGGAAGCTATAAATATCGAAAATATTTTTCCCGCGTTGTGTGAAACTCCGGCGACTCAAATGTCCTCAAAAGAGTTCCAAAGGACGCTGTACTCCTGGTTCGAAGAAAGGGGTTTAGTCACCGATCTTCGTTCCTATCTTCGGGTTTTGATGATCAACGAACTCAGAAACAGAACAGTGGGTAAAATCGACTCTAAAACGAACTTCTCGCTGTCTAAGCAAGCTTTCAGTCTCCTAATCGCTGAACATTTATTGCGAGAAGGGTGCCACTATACGTTATCAGTTTTTAGTACTGAAGTACCTGCAGTGGCTAACCAGTTGCCATTTTCTTTACTCGAGGCGCACTCTCACAACGAAATGTGGCACTTTGACGAAGAAAGCTTACTAAACGTGCTAGAACTGATCGGAGTCTCGAAAGGTAGCAGCGAAAGTCTCAGAATCGCGTCGTTGTACTTTAAAAATAAAGACTCACTATTGACGTGTTTAGTGAGTTCTAAAAGTGTGGCAGGGCAGGACTTACCTATCGATAACGAACGAGACCTTGTGAAAATTTTAACGGTACTGGGGGTCCCGGGGAACATGGCAGACAACATAAAGAAAAACATTGAAGAGGGGTTCTCCCACCAGATTCCCCAAGACAGGAAAAATTTGGAAGAAATACAAAACGTATTAATTGAACGCAATCGCCAAATCAAACTTCTACTAGACGAGCAAATATTGCAAAAAAAAGACAACAAAAAAGTGAAATGTGAGTTGAAGGAGACCCGGAAACGTCTCAAGCAAGCGCTCTTAAAAGAACAAAGCTTGAACCTGAAGGAGACCGAAATTAGGAAGAAACTGGATGAGGTAACTAGGTTGCAGCGCAGCTTGGAGAGGACTTTTAGCAGAGGGAAGGTTGACGTTTGTTCGTTGAAACACTGTACAGAGTCGTGCCAATCTATAGTTAGCGTGAATGACGAACTGAGAAACGAAATCAAGCAACTAGAACAGGATCATAAGGGCAAAAGTCGCGAGATTCAGCATCTGAATGCACAAATCGTGTCCTTGACGAAAGATCTGCACAACGCGAAGTCGAATATCGAGTTTCTGAATAGCTGTTTGCTGCGGTCCAGTCAAATCGGTTTGCAACAAGGTACGTAAAATCGTGCACAGTATAAATGTATTTATTGAAAAATATTTTTATTGGAATGTACATTTTCAAGGAGATGCGCGTTCTCCCTCTAGCGACGACACTTCCGAGAACCTGACCGGCGAGATCCTAAAACAAGTGCGCTCGAAGCTGCAGCAGCTCGAACGCGAGAGCGACGAACTCGACGTAAAGTTTAAGAAATTAAAAATGAAAGATTTTGTTACAAAATAGTTTATATCACTCACGTGAAACAATTAACAAAATAGAAATGTTTGTACAAAGTATAATACATAACTATATAAATTGACACTCAATATTAGTTTTTTAGGCACAACCTGCACACAGTGTCTTAATTAAAGAACCTCTTCTTAAAGACTTTTACCTTTTTTTAAAACGAACTAAAAACTCAAGACGGGAGATTTTATTACCTTACAAATTAATTTTGTTTTGAAGACTGGCACGCGGAGAGTTGGCTCCGGTTATCCGAAGCCACGACGTGGAAGGGGGCGTGCACGCTTTGGAACTAAGATGGCGAGGCGGGGTCGAGTAGTTTGATTGGTGCGATGTTTTGGTTTTCGGGCGGGGCCAGCTGCAAAAACACGTTATACACTATAACACTAGTTAGTGAAGTTACCTTTCTCGTTCTGCGTCGGAGTACAGGCCCACGTTATGGTGCCACCTGTAGATGTTCGGGTACTTCCCCGGCGTTATTTGGCAACCAGCGTACTTTAAAGCTTTGAATAGAGCACAATCGGTTTTCGTGGGACTATTATCTTCTATAAATACTTCTGATAAAAGTTGTACATCACTAAAATCGTCTTCGTTGTCGGAATCACAAAGCTGGCTAGGGCTGCCAGGAGGGGTGAAGAATTCTTCGTCGGAAGAGGAATCTTCTATCACATTATCTGCTACTAAAAAAAGTGATTATCGGAAAACATGAATGACCCTTCCTACCCACCATCGACTTTCTTGCCGTCTTTATCCGAAAATAGAAACCTTCTAGCTTTGAACCCTTTAAACGAGTGTCTGGTGCTGTTGTTCCTACTCAACCCCAGACTCTTCCTCGTCTTTTTAAAATGAAAAACACAAGTACACTCCTTCGTTTTGATCCAGGCGTCCCGACAGACGCTCTCTTCGTCCAACTCCAACCGCGGCTCCGTCTCCTGACTAAAATTCTTCAAGATGTGCTGCGTCAAACAAATCAGCTGCTTTTTCGACGACGTCGGTTTATTATCCTTCGGGTAATTCCCTTCATCATCGCTCGAAAAGCAGTCAAACGCCTTAACACACTCCGTCGTAAACTTACTCAAGCTCTTGATGTACCCCCCTCTCGAGTTCTTGTCAATAAAGTAACACATCTTCTGCCCAGTTAACACCCCTAAGCGCGGATGCAACTGCGCAAAGTTGACTTTATTAAACCTACAGTCGTCCATGTAACTTAAAATCAACAACTCCACTTGTTTCGTCTGCATCTCAAGCATGGTGACCTGCAGCTGGAACTCTTCGTAGATTCTATGGTAGATCTCGCTCGCTATCCGATTGGCGAACACATTGCAGGCCTTCTCCACGCACAGAAACGCGTTAAAATTCGCGTCCTCCTCGCAGCTGTCGATCAGGGTGCAGTTCTGCATCTGCACGCACAAATCGGCGATGGTGCTGAAGGTGCGTTTGGATTCCTCGGGAGTGGAGGGCGCAGGCGACTTATCGACGACAGCCGCCTGAGAAGCTAGATAGTTTTCGAGTAAATGTAAGCCCTCGTCGGAGGCTATGTCAACAAAACAGTCTAAAAACGACCAGTACTCTTTCCAATTCACGTCGAATTTGTTTGCGAGCTTCTGGCCGAGTCGTTCCAACCCTTTCGACGGGTCGGTGTAACGTAGAGCGACGACGGACTCCAAGGAGTTGTCGTTTTTTGGTTTGATTGGAGTGCTTGTTCGAGGAGGGGTTTTCCACACTTTGCGGAATTGATCGGCTCCTTCTTTGTTCATGGGGCCGGCGAAGGCGTGGATTTCGAGGCGGGGGCTCAGGGGGTCTTTGTTAACGACCTACAAGAACGGGTTGTAAAAGAAAAAAAATGGTCGAAAGTCACTAGTTTATTTTTGGAGCGCTCCTGTATAAGTAATTCTAAAAACTATGCATCCATTGGAAAACCACAAGTATAGAGACATAATATTTTGCAGACTTTAAATAGAATTGATTCGGAAAAATTTGGGATGAGCATCAATTTTTAGGATGGGGATAAACGAAGAAATTTTGATTAACGTACATAGTTTCAAAATTGATTTATAAACTTGTCGCAGACGTTGCTGTTCGCCGTTGACTTTGAAAGTTTCCTTAGACAAATTTTCCATTTTAAACATGTTTTAAGTTTCATGTTGTGAAAAAAAGTCTACACACATATTAAAACAAAAAACCAAAATGTAAGCCCGCCCACCCGCCCTATCTCAATTGTGACGATTTTTTTTTATTCGCCGTGACCCAAGGGAGCGGAGCTTAACTGCAAAATACTTATTTCTTTACGAGAAATTAAAAACATGTTTTTGAATACCGTGTTGTTCAAAGAATACGAAGTATATTAAGAAAAAAAAGACAAAATATAAAGCTCGCCCACCCACCCCATCTCAATTGTGGTTACTTTTTTTATTCTTAGATACTTGAAACACGTTTAAAATGGTACATTTTTGTAAGGAAATATGGATTTTGCAATTAGGCTCCGCCCTTAGGTTTGCCAATGAATGAAAAATTGAGCTTTTCGCAAAATTGCCAAAAAATGCCCAAAAAAAAACTAGGAGATAAATTTTGACGATCTCAATCCAAAAATATGGCTCGTGGATAGTTCAGGTCCAAGATTGAGGATTGTAATCAAAAATTCCGGAGTAATTGTGGTATTTTTCTTAACGACACATTTAGGGCGGTTCCAGAAAAATTGAGTGTCCAAAAATTTTGAAAAAAAACTGGCTTACGTAGAAGCGAGACGTTTATCAGAGAAAATAATCTCAACTTGATGCGACAACGGATTCTCGAAATAATCAGTTTCAAATTAAGTTTTTTAAAATATCTCAAAAATTGCCACTCATTATTTTGGCGATATTGGAAAACTGGTAAGAATTTTCGAAGAACTGAAACAGCAAAAGATTTAAGAGATCGAAATAAACAAAAAAATCTCTTTTGTTGCATTTAGAAAGCGATCAAAGAAATATCCAAAATTTCTAAGACAAGGATATTTAAAAATTGAGCTTTCCGTAAAATTGCCCGAAAAATCTCAAAAAAATCTAGGACATAAATTTTGACCACCTGAATCCAAAAAAATGGCTTGTTTATAGTCCAGGTCCAAGATTGAGGACTGTAATAAAAAATTCCGGAATAATTGTAGTATTTTTCTTAACGACACATTTATAAAAACAGAGTGCCCAAAAATTTTGAAAAAAAACTGGCGTACGTAGAAGCGAGACGTTTATCAAAGAAAATAATCTCAAATTGATGCGACAACTGATTCCCGAAATAATCAGTTTCAAAGTCAGTTTTTTTTTAATATTCCAAAAATTGCCATTCATTATTTTGGCGATTTTGAAAAACTGGTACGAATTTTCAAAGAACTGAAACAGCAAATAATTTTAAGAGATCGAAATACACAAAAAAATCTCTTTTGTTGCATTTAGAAAGCGATTAAAGAAATATCCAAAATTTCTAAGACAAGGATATTTAAAAATTGAGCTTTCCGTAAAATTGCCCGAAAAATCTCAAAAAAATCTAGGAGATAAATTTTGACCATCTGAATCCAAAAATATGGCTTGTTTATAGTCCAGGTCCAAGATTGAGGATTGTAATAAAAACATCCGGAATAACCGTGGCATTTTTCTGAAGGACATTCCAAAAAAACTGGGTGTCCAAAAATTTTGAAAAAAATCGGGCTTACGTAGGGGCGAGACGTTTATCAGGGAAAATAATCTCAAATTGATGCGACAACTGATTCTCGAAATAATCAGTTTCAAAATCAGTTTTTTAAAATATCTCAAAAATTGCCATTCATTATTTTGGCGATTTTGGAAAAATGGTACGAATTTTCGAAGAACTGAAACCGTAAAAGACTTTCAGGGATCGAAATAAACAAAAAAATATCTTTGTTAAGTTTCGAAAACGCTTCAGTAAAGTTCCAAAAGGCAAGGATATTTAAAAATTGAGCTTTCCGTAAAATTGCCCGAAAAATCTCCAAAAAAATCTAGCGGATAAATTTTGAGCATCTGAATCCAAAAATATGGCTTGTTTATAGTCCAGGTCCAAGATTGAGGATTGTAATAAAAAATTCCGGAGTAACCGTGGCATTTTTCTGAAGGACATATATGAGGCAATTCCAGAAAAACTGGGTGTCCAAAAATTTTGAAAAAAATCGGGCTTATCAGGGAAAATAATCTCAAATTGATGCGACAACTGAATCTCGAAATAATCAGTTTCAAATTAAGTTTTTTAAAATATTTCAAAAATTGCCACTCATTATTTTGTGCGAATTTGGAAAACTGGTACGAATTTTCGAAGAACTGAAACAGCAAAATATTTTAAGAGATCGGAATAAACAAAAAATCTCTTTTGTTGTATTGAGAAAGCGATCGAAGAAATATCCAAAATTTCTAAGGCAAGGATATTTAAAAATTGAGCTTTCCGTAAAATTGCCCGAAAAATTCTCAAAAAAATCTAGGACATAAATTTGACCATCTGAATCCAAAAATATGGCTTGTTTATAGTCAAGGTCCAAGATTAAGGATTGTAATCAAAAATTCTGGAGTAACCGTGGCAATTTTCTGAAGGACATATGTAGGGCAATTCCAGAAAAACTGAGTGTCCAAAAATTTTGAAAAAAATCGGGCTTACGTAGGAGCGAGACGTTTATTAGAGAAAATAATCTCAAATTGATGCGACAACTGATTCCCGAAATAATCAGTTTCAAATTAAGTTTTTTAAAATATCTCAAAATTTGCCTCTCATTATTTTGGCGATTTTGGAAAACTGGTACGAATTTTCGAAGAACTGAAACAATAAAAGATTTTAACAGATCGAAATAAACAAAAACATCTCTTTTGTTGCATTTAGAAAGCGATCAAAGAAAAATACAAAATTTCTAAGGCAAGGATATTTAAAAATTGAGCTTTCCATAAAATTACCCGAAAAATCTCAAAAAAATCTAGGAGATAAATTTTGACCATCTGAATCCAAAAATATGGCTTGTTTATAGACCAGGTCGAAGATTGAGGATTGTAATCAAAAATTCCGGAGTAACTGTGGCATTTTTCTGAAGGACATATGTAGGGCAATTCCAGAAATACTGAGTCTCCAAAAATTTTGAAAAAAATCGGGCTTACGTAGGAGCGAGACGTTTATCAGAGAAAATAATCTCAAATTGATGCGACAACTGATTCCCGAAATAATCAGTTTCAAATTAAGTTTTTTAAAATATCTCAAAATTTGCCTCTCATTATTTTGGCGATTTTGGAAAACTGGTACGAATTTTCGAAGGACTGAAACAACAAAAGATTTTAAGAGATCGAAATAAACAAAAAATCTCTTTTGTTGCAGTTAGAAAGCGATCAAAGAAATATCCAAAATTTCTAAGGCAAGAATATTTAAAAATTGAGCTTTCTGTAGAATCGACCGAAAAATCCCCAAAAAAATCTAGGAGACAAATTTTGACCATCTGAATCCAAAAATGTGGCTTGTTTATAATCCAGGTCCAAGATTGAGGATTGTAATCAAAAATTCCAGAGTAACCGTGGCATTTTTCTGAAGGACATATGTAGGGCGATTCCAGAAAAACTGGGTGTCCAAAAATTTTGAAAAAAATCGGGCTTACGTAGGAGCGAGACGTTTATTAAGGAAAATAATCTCAAATTGATGCGACAACGGATTCTCGAAATAATCCGTTTCAAATTAAGTTTTTTAAAATATCTCAAAAATTGCCACTCATTATTTTGGCGATTTTGGAAAACTGGTAAGAATTTTCGAAGAACTGAAATAGCAAAAGATTTTAAGAGATCGAAATAAACAAAAAAATCTCCTTTGTTGCATTTAGAAAGCGATCAAAGAAGGATATTTAAAAGTTGAGCTTTCCGTAAAATTGCCCGAAAAATCTCAAAAAAATCTAGGAGATAAATTTTGACCATCTGAATCCAAATAAGGCTTGTTTATAGTCCAGGTCCAAGATTGAGGATTGTAATTAAAAATTCCGGAGTAACCGTGGCATTTTTCAAAAGGACATATGTAGGGCGATTCCAGAAAAACTGGGTGTCCAAAAATTTTGAAAAAAAATCGGGCTTACGTAGGAGCGAGACGTTTATCAGGGAAAATAATCTCAAATTGATGCGACAACGGATTCTCGAAATAATCAGTTTCAAATTAAAGTTTTTTAAAATATCTCAAAAAATGCCACTCATTATTTTGGCGATTTTGGAAAACTGGTAAAAATTTTCGAAGAACTGAAACAGCAAAATATTTTAAGGGTTTGGAATAGACAAAAAAATCTCTTTTGTTGCATTTAGAAAGCGATCAAGGAAATATCCAAAATTGAGCTTTCCGTAAAATTGTCCGAAAAATCCCCAATCCTGTAGGATTCGTACTCGAGACTTCCATTGGGAAAGCAAGTTTAACACCCATCACGCTTAGTTTAGACGACATCACAAAATTGTGTAAAGAGAAAACTCAACTCGAAAATGCTGGATGCAGCGAGGGAAGTTTTGTGGAAATAACTTTCGGCCAATTTTTATAATAACGGATGCGTTACGAGATTTAAAAACATATTTTATTTATTGTTTTCTTATTCTTTCTTTATGTATTATTTACTACTCACTGTTTTATTGCTGTTATTTTATTTTGCTAACATAATACAACAGGTGTTTGATATTTATGTATTTCGCTTTTTTTTTTTTTTAATTAATTTCATTCAATCTGAATCAATTTTAGCGAAATTTCTAAACAATTAATTCTAAAAAATATAATGAAGCAAAACTTTCGAAATCCAGCTTTGATTAATAATTCACCACGTTTTCACGTCCTTGGCCGTGTAATATTTTAAGTGGTGTTGTGTTGCTTTCAAATTGGTAAATATAAATACGTCACGGAAAATCGAATTGATTCTAGATACTAACTAAAATTTATTTATTCACAGCTAAAATGATGACGACATTACATAGAAAAATTATTAAATTGATGCTTCAGTGATGATGTTTACACATAACAGAACTGATTTATTTTGCCGATTACCTCGTATCTAATCATGTTAAAATTGTGATATAATGCTTAGGTCATGGTTGGTGTGCAATCAAAACTATTATGTTTGTCCTTGGTAAAAGGGTCTGCTACATGCCGCTTTGCTAATGAAGTATTTGCCGCATACTATACGAACTCGTTATAGTGGTTTAGACTATACGGATAGAAACGTCAACAAATATCGTACCAGGAATTTTGAAATTTTTATAACAAGTCACACACACAAGGTTGACATTTTTCATCATTTTTTGAAAGGACCTTCCTGCAATATGTTGAGCTATTTCTAACGAACGACACAAGGTTAGTTCGCTTTTGTTGTGTAACAAGTTTGTCCAAGTTCTGAATAGATAACTAAGTTAATACATAGTTTTTTATTTTTACCAGTAAACAATATAAAAATCAATAATACCCTACTAACCTGCGACTTCCCTGGCGAAAAAGGCTCTCCCACCAGTGGCGGCATGCTATTATCTTCAGCTCTTAGAACAGGCACATAGTAACAATTTTCCAAATGCATAGCAATTTTCTTTTTCAAAACACTGACTTTTTCTTTATTGTCACACCGATCACAAATTATCTAAAACAAAATCAGTAATCAAAATGTTTTTTTTTTTCGCGATAAAGTCGACCCACCATGTCAGGAGTCTGTCCATATTTATTTTTTAAAGTTTTATCACAATCAGGGAATGAAACCAGCACCTCGACGACGTCCACAGCCCCAAATTTCGAGGCAAAATGCAGTGGCGTCTCGTTTAAACCCTTATCGGGCGTGTTTAAATACAAATCTAATAAAACTTGAATTCTACTCTCAACGTTCTCATTTTGATCGTCGCCATATAAAAGTTTGACGAATTTAGGATTTGAGATCGTGTTCAAGATCGATTCGGCCAAAACGCCGCTTTTGGCTTTGGCGGCTACGTGGAGGGCGTTGTAGCGGAAGCCTTCCTAAAATTAACAAAAAGTGACCTTATATTTTTATTTTTATATTTATACATTAAAATAATAAAATTTAATTTACGTATTTGAATTACTCAGACATAAAAACGAAAATAACAAATTAAAATTCCTGAAAAATCGGGATTGTGAAAATTAAGCGCTATTTTTATCCTGGTATTTAGCTAGGCATCCAATGTTAATTTTTCAAACCTTCTCTATTTTTCAGCACCTATCAAAGCGGCCTCGCTGGACTTATTTTTGTCAATTTTACGCCGATTTCTATCTTATTGCAGCTATGTTTACAAATACCTTATCACAGCGTTCCGCTTATAAAAAAATCAGTTATGAGTAATACGACGGTACTTAAGATATAATCGCAAAACGTTAAATCGCCTGATTTTTCAAATAAAAAATACCTGCAAAATTGACGGCGTGTCCCCATTACTGACCAAATACCTCGGGTTCTCCCACACCGCCTGTCTGAACGTCTCCACGTCCCCCGTCTCGATGGCCTTCCTCAACTTAACCAAATCCTGAGGTTTCGGCCCCTTGAAGGGGCTCAGTCTTTCGTTAACAATCTGTGGACTCAAGCTCAAGCTCTTCACGATGGAGCCGTTAATGGGATGAGAGGGCCGCGGGGGGTCCACCACTCCCACGCTGGCGAACTTGAGAGCCTCGTTAAAAACCTCGAAGTGTTTGAACCTCGCCTTTTTCGTCTTCTTCACCATCTTCATGGCCTCCACCTTATCCTTGTAGATGTACTTGCATAGTTGCGTCCCCTTTTGCCGGACGTCTGGTGGCACGTACACTGAATAAAAGTTGCCACGAAGGGGCGCCTCGCCTTCCGAAAAGTCGGCCACTTCTTCGGTAAACTGGTCAAAAGCTGAATCTTCACTGGATTCCATGCTGGGAGTGCGGTTAAAATTGGGTAGAAATTGATAAAAGCATTTTTTGGTGGCTGCCGCGTACAGCGAGGAATTTTTAATAACGCACGGGTTTTTAAATGCAACGAGTATTGTAAATAAATAAGTAGAAAATTTTAAATAACACGTCAAATGCAAATATCGAACGAAAATGACACTTTTGACAGAGTGGGAGAGCAACAAGCGACATAACCTCAATTTTTTTGACAGATGTTTGGAAAAATTGTGGTTGGAAGCCGCCGCAGGGCTTGAATTGCAAAATCCGTGTTTATATTTCGAGAGTTTTTGTGTTTTGTTTGTGAAAGTAGGTGCGCAGACGGGTTATTTGAGTTTTATGGATATTGCGCTTTAGTTGGAAGAAATTTAAGAGGAGGTACTTAAGGCGTGGATTCACACCGCTAGATGGCGCCATCACCAGATTGTTTAAATTTTAATAATTAATTGTGAATGCTTTTTGGTTAAGGAATAAAAAACGCTCATTTTGAAAGATTTATTTCAACACATAAAAGCACAAACATATTGACAGTCAAATTCCTTTATGACAAAATCTTAAAACTTAACTGAGAGGTATCACAGAAATTTGACTTAAAAGTAAAGTAACTCTAATAAAACATTAACGTGCGTTTCGAATTCAAAATTCTCACACACCAGGAATTGATCTAACTTATCCTAACGTACAAAATGTATAAAAACCACAATTTTCACAATTAAATTGCAACGATTTCCCAAAAAGTAAACACGAAGGTCAGGTCGTCAGCACAATATCAGTGTTAATTTAAGACTAGTTCAATAATAAATTTGGAATAGTCACAACATGATTAAAAATTTATTAATATTAATGGACAAATACTATTAGGGCGCACGGTGGTAATGGCGAAAATTTTAATATTTGGTAACATCAACCACACCCCCATGCCAAGTCTCTCGATCTCGCAATACTTTGAAAATACCTACGCTATTACTAGCGGTTCGTCGTCCGAAAACCCTGTTATCTGCGGGCTCTCTTCCTCCTCCAACCCGTTGTCGTCGAAAGTAGCAGCCCCCGACCTCGTGTCGTAATGCGAATTAGCAAACCTAGTGAAGCTATTCTGCAGCCGCCTGTGCTTCACAATAAACACCCCTAAAGCAGCGAGTACCAACAGCGCGAGTACCGTCAGAACGAGGATCAACCACAAGCTAGTACCGGAGATGGCCGGCTGTGGCGCCTTCAACTCCAACGCTTTGCTCACTTGCTCCGACAGTACCGACTTGTACCCGCTGTCAGCCAAAATGCGCACCGCAAACGTGTACATGTGCGCGGAACTATTCGTGTATCGGAACGGCGGTTTCGACACTAGGAACTTCTCGGCTGTCGTCTCGTTCAACGAGTTGCCTTCGCTCACCAACACTTCGTACTGGTACGAGCCAACAGCCTCCGGAACGTTACGTTCCTGCCAATACAAGAAGAAAGTGCCGTTGCTTTCAATCACAGTTTTCACTTCAAAGGGTGGTAGGATCACTGGGGCGTAGTAGGTCACGTTCGACGTGAATATGGCATCGGGGTCGTCAGTGGCCACACTGACGTCATATATGGCACCGTAGCTAATATTAAAGACGTGAGAAAACTTGTCCTCGTCCATTTTCATGGTCCAGGTTTGGTTCAAAGTGCGCTCGTGGACGCGAATCTGAAAAAAAAAATATGCTTAAAACGGAACAGAAAAATTCAAACGGACGTACAATGTAAGATCGCAGACCACTGTTCAGAAGGCATGGCTTCTTCCAGTGAACCGCCATTTGTAACGAGCCCTCTCCTCTTTCCACCGTTAGTTCCTTGGGTGGCGCCTTTTTGCTGTAAGTTGTTCGAATGTCCAATTGGATTTTGGATAAGGGACCAAACCCGGACGGTCCCACGACTCCGACTCTAAACCTGTAGTCCTCGCAGGCATTCAAACCAGAGATGTTGACGCTGAAGCCGGTGGTATTTACTCTAGGCTCTGCAAAAAGTTCCGTGTTTAATTAAAATAGGGTGCTGTGTCGCAACTAATCATAAACTTCAACCAGTTCTAGTTTGTGGCTTTTTAAAATGTTAAAATTAGTCGAAAGTCACTTCGACAGAACTGCCCTCGCTTCTGAAGGTACGGTCCAACAAATACTGCGTCTCTAAAAAATTGTAAGATTTGATTTTGCCGAATTTTATTTGGAGTAAAAACAATATAGGAGAAAATAGCGGGTGGGTGGGCGTTCCTAGTACTTGCTAACATTAAGTCTTATTTTGGCCAGAAAACAGGGGGCGGGTGGACGGGGTTAGTACTTGATAAGATAAGACTTATTTCGGCAAATGACATATCCTCTGAGAAAATAGGGGGCGGGTGGGCGGGGCTAGCACTTGCTAAGATAAGACTGATTTTGCCCCTATTAAACTTGTAAAAACTTGTTAAATTTATAAGGTGTTAAATTGCAAACTTCCATAGTTACGACTTGAATGTTTTCTTTACTTTTTTTTTGTTGCTTCATTTTTTCGAGTTTTCAAGTTTAAATTTTTCAATTTTTCAACTTTTCCATTTAATTTCTATATTTTGCAATTTTTCGAATTGAGTTTCTCTAGTTTTCAATTTTTAATTTTTTCATTTGCAATTTTTCGTTTGAATCTTTTATTTTCTTTATTTTTACAATTTTTCAATGTTCAGATTTTATAATTGTTTGTTTTTCAATTGCACTTTTTTCAACTTTTAGTTTTTTTTTTCTTTAATTTTACGATTTCTCTTAAGTTTCCGTTTTTAAATTTTTCATTTTCCGATTTTCCAACTTTTGAAGGTTTAAATTTTTAGATTTTGCAGTTTTTCGAATTGAAATTTCACGAGTTTTCAATTTTTGATTTTTTCAGTTTTTCGAGAAGAACGAGAAAGTGCAAGTTATTCTAGATGACTTACATTAGGAGTACAGTCCAAAATTATTGAATAATAGATTGACTTTATGTTTTTAATTATAATATATCTTGTTCTGTGCGCCAAAAAATTGTTGAAACAAAACTACGTATATAAAGAAAAAAAAAATCATTAAGTCCCACCCACCCGCCTCAATCTCAATTGTGATGAGTTGAGTTTCATATAATTTCTTGTACAGAAATGAGAATTTTGCAACTAAATTCCGCCCTTCAGCTCACAATGAATAAAACATTCATCACAATTAAGAAGGGGTGGGTGGGCGGGGCTTATATTTTGTCCATTCTTTCTCAATATACCAAGTCTTCTTTTCCCAACAAGAAACTGAAAACATGTTTAACTATATTGTTGTTGAAAGAAAACTCTATATATTAAAAAAAAAACAAAGATTAAACCCCGCCCACCCACCCCGATCTCAAATGTAATGAATTTTTTATTCGTTGTTAGACCGAGAGGCGTGTACATTTTATGTAGTATTTATTCGGCAAATTTCTGAGCTGATGTCATCAATTTTTTGGAAGGGATAAGTAAATATAGTTTGATTAAAAATTTATCATGCTTATCGTAACTGTAAACCATCTGCAAGATTTCAAAGCATTCGGTTTTGCAGATTCCAAATTAAATTGCAAAACGTTTGATAATTTTGATTTTTTTTTCAAAAATCTGGACGTTTCCGGTAAAAACTCAATACGGAGTCATAAACTCCATGTGTAGGACTATGTTATTTTACACAATTTAAAACCCATTTACTATGTACAATTTTGAAGTGACGTCATCACATTATTGGTGGGGATGATTAGACAAATTTTGGTTAGCGTTTTACCATTTGCATGATATTTCTAATATAAATATAAAAATTCACAACAATCGGTCCAGTAGTTTTGGAGATTACGTGTCTAATAAAAATGGATACAGACACCAGACAGACAGACAGACGGAAACGGGAGACTACTTTTTTCGTATTGTAGGGGTCACGAAACGTCGAGAAAATATAAAAGTGGCCATTTGTCCGATGGACCCTATTACTATACTTCCTTCAAGTTTTTGGGGGGAATAAATAAATTTATTTTGATTAAAAAGTTACCATGCTTACAATAATTCAAAACGTCTACAAGATTTCAAACTACATATTCAGTTTTGCAATTCTTGATTTAAACAATAAAATAAATTGACTCAGTCATTAATTATTTTTAAGACACCCTGTATAACCAAATCTAAAAATTGGTCTAAAGGGTTTAGACAGTACTTCCCTCGCTGTCGGAAACTTGACGACTGCATGCCTATTGTGTTTTTTTTCCCATTACATTTTTGTAGTGGGCATTTAAAAAACATTGTGATGACGTCATCAACATTTTTGCAAGGACACGTATATCAGTTGGGATAGATGTAGTGTAATACTAAGAATAAAATTATTGTATTCCCAAATTTTCGGGAAAATGAATTGGGTCGTTTTGAATATTGATTTGTTATAATCAATAAAATAACGAAACAATTTACTCACGTATACGGCGCCGGCATGTAATATGAGAGGGAACTGAAAATCGTGTATGTATAAGCATTCTTAATTTAAGATGACAAGCGTAACAGCATACGTGAGGGTCAAAACAGAGAAACTGTAAACAAAACGACCATCGGTTTTATTGCTTCGACTTCCGCTTATTATATAAAACATTGGGTTTTATTTTAATTTTTGACGGTGGAATTCATAATTGGTTGATTATAAACATGTCTATACCACATTCGCGGAACCTAGTCAGCACACAAAACAAATGCACGTCTGTAATGTTAAAGTAGATGTAAATAAGCGTGTTACCCTTATGTTTCAATCGAGTTTTTACTTTAAAAAATTTTGTGTCTACCAAATTGGGTTGGTCCAATGTAATACTAATAATAAGTGTTGCCTTTAATTTGATCAATAAAATAAATTGACTTCATTAATTTTTTTGAGCCACCTCTTAAGAAAATCTAAAAAATATGAATGGAATGATAAATCACAAGTACAAACTCATCATCTTTTTTGCATTTTAGATAGGATTTATTTAGCAAAATTTAAGGGTGACGTAACCAATTTTTTTTAGGAGGGATGAACAACTACATTTTGAACAAAAGTTTACCATGCTTATAATAACTTTAAAATATCTCCAAGATTTCAAAGCATTCGGTTTTGTAATTCCTGATTAAATCGATAAAATAAATTCACGCATTCATTAATTTTTTGAGTCAGCCTGTATATGCAAATCCAAAAATATGAATGGAATGATAAATCACAAGTACAGGCTCATCATATTTTGTACATTTTTGATAGGATTTATTCAGCAAAATTTTTGACTGACGTCATCAATTTTTTAGGGGGGAAGAGCAAATACATTTTGATAAAAAATTTACCATGCTTATGATAACTTTAAAACATCTCCAAGATTTCAAAGCATTCGGTTCTGTAATTCCTGATTAAATCAATAAAATCAATTGACGCATTCATTAATTTTTTTCAGTCACCCTATATGTGCAAATCGAAAAAATATTAATGGAATGATAAATCACAAGAAGAGACTCACCATATTTTGTACATTTTAGATAGGATTTATTCAGCAAAATTTTGTGGTGACGTAATTAATTTTTTAGGAGGGACGACCAAATACATTTTGATCAAAAATTTACCATGCTTATGATAATTTTAAAACATCTTCAAGATGTCAAAGCATTCGGTTTTGTAGTTCCTGAGTAAATCAGTAAAATAAATTTTGCGCATTCATTAATTTTTTTGAGACACCCTGTATATGCAAATCCAAAAAATATGAATGGAGTGATATATCACAAGTACAGACGCATTATATTTTGTACATTTTAGATAGGATTTATTCGGCAAACTTTTGAGCTGACGGACTCGATAACAATACTTCCTTTGCTTACGCTCGGGAAGTAAAAAATTGGTTGAAAATTGTTTCGACAGAACTTCCCTCGCTCCTGAAGTACAATGAAACACTTTCAGAGGCGTCCGTCATCGCTTCTCCGTTACAGTGAACTTTTCTACCTATCCCTGTTTAGATTAGTGTCTAACAGTGACTAGTTGACTTAAGTTTATGTTTCCGCGTTATTGTTTACGACTTAAAAAAGAAATTTAAAAACCACCCCCTTCTGAAGTGTGCATGTTACGCTACTGACTGCCAGTCCGTTGACAGATTCTGATGATTCATCATGCTGAACTTAAAATAATCCATCTCTAACAACCTTCGTGCTTCAACACTTGGTAATAGCAACCTGACGCTCAAGTGAACACCATAAAATAAACTCATTAATTTTTTGAGTCACCTGTATATACAGAATCATCATATTTTTTACGTTTCAGATCGGATTTATTCGGCAAAATTTTGAGCCGACGTCAACAATACTCACTTTCGTACAGCTCCTCTTCCTCAATACCATAATAGACTCCATAAGTCCACGCTACTTTCTTCCCAAATTCCGGTACGTACCACCTCAAATTGACGGTGGTTGCCGAAATTAATTCCCCTCCGATTAAAGGCACCTCTGGTAAAGTAACTCCATTGGTGGTTACCGTAATGTGGCTTTTAGGTCCTATAAACCATTTTTTGAAGGCATTTACAACGAAAGTGTACTTAGCACCAGCTGCCAGGTTGTCGATCGTGATTGTCTTGTCTTTCGTGATTCGTCCCGGTATTCTCGGATAATCTTTGTCGGGGGTTATCTCCACCCTGAAACCTTCAACTGTTTTATCGTACTCCCACGACAACTTTACACTTTTTTCCGTTTTCTCGACGATTCGCAATTTTTCGATGCCATTCACGGTGGGATCGCCATCGAATTTGAGAGTCGTCACTTCGGACCGCTCGCTTTCGTACTTGCGGTTGTGGGCAATCACCTGCGCAGGTATAAATTATAAAAAAAAACAATATTATTATTGGTCAAACTTACATAAAATGAGTACGTGTTGTTCGGGTTGAAGGAGGCCGGTAACAAATGGGCGGTTTCATTTCCGGTTAGCTTCAACTTGATTGGCGGAAGCGGTGGGTACCAACAGATCTGGTAGTTGACAATTTGGCCGTTAGGGTGCGTGGGTGGGTTCCACGATAAGAGTACGTGTGACCCATTCTGCTGGGCAGCTGTTACATTCCAAGGTCCCGAAGGTATGCCTAATCAACAACCCCAATCACAAAAAAAACACACTTGCTATAGCAAAAGTACCTTCTCCAGTATAGGCAGTAAAATACTTGGCCGGTAGGAACACCCTCGTCGTATTCTGTATCCGAACGTAAATCGTCATGTTGTACCTAGTCGCCGGTTCCAACCCCTTAAACATGTACTCTGTTGCTTCCATCCACGACATATTACGCCACTGCTCGCGTCCGGCTTTACTAATCGACGGCATGAACTCCAACCGGTCCTTCGACGGCGTCGCAATCCACCAATACAAAAGCAAACTCGACTCATTAATACCCCTCTCATCCACCCCCATCTGCAAAACTTGGTACACCCGCGAATGCTTAGTACAGTTGAGTTCGTCGTAACCATCGACGCAATCGCCTTTTCCGTCGCACAGCGCCGCCAAAGGATAACACCGGTCTTCGTCGCACGGGAAATACCCCTTAGAACAACTAGGCGTCGCCGGACCATTAGCCGGATACTTATCGCACTCTTGCTCATCTGTGCCGTCCGGACAATCCTTCTGGTGATTGCAGACGAGTTTCTTCGATATGCAGCTGCCGTCTCTGCGACACCTGAACTGGTCCTTCGTGCAATTAACGACGTTCAAACATTCGCGCTCGTCTTCTCCTCCGATGCAGTCTTCCATTCCGTCGCAAACCCACGACGAGAAAATACAACCACCACCGGCGCATTGGTACTGGTTGCTGCCGCACGTGCCGCCCGGCAAGGGGTTCATTGTGATGGGCTTGATGGTGGTGAGGCCCGAGTCTGGATTGGGACAGCCGAGTTCGTCGCTGCCGTCGCCGCAGTCGTTCGAGTCGTCGCATTTCCACCAATAGGGGATGCATTTATCGTTGGCGCACTTGAACATCCAGTTTTGGCAAGTTCCGTTCTAGAAAAGAACGTAGTTTGGAATATTATTTTAGTATTATTAAGGGGGGACGCTAGACGAGAGGCAAGTTTGACATATTAATTTTAATATTCGAGATAATTATTATATTATTCAAACACAATTTAGACACTGTAGAGCAAACAAGGCTTATCAAGCCCGTCTATTAGTTTCTTCGCCTAAATGTATTATTAATACCGTTTTCAAATTACACCAAAATTGAAAAATCGAAAACTTAATAATTGAAAAATTGAAACATTTTAAATGAAAAAAATCGGTAAACCGAAAAATTGAAAAATTTATAAATCGAGAAATTGAACAATCTAAAAATTAAACAATTTAAAAATCGAAACATCAAGGAAAACAAAAAATTAACGGAACATCTAGAACTTAAAAATTGAAAAATTAAAATACCTATCGAAAAATTGAAAAACCGAGAAATCGAAACATCAAAAAATGGAAAAATTGAAGAACCGAAACATTGCAAAATCTCAGAACTGAAATACTGAAAAACTGAAAAATGGAAGGAAAATTGAAAAATCGAGAAAGTGAAAAAATCCAAAACTGAAACATTGAAAAATCCAGAAATCGTAAAATTGAAAAATCACAATTGAAGAAAGAATTGAAAAATCAAGAAATAGAGAAATGGGAAAATCAAAAAATCAGTTAATCGAAAAATTGAAAAATCGAAAAATTTAGAAACGTCAAAAATTAAAAACTGAAAAATAAAAAAAATTTTAAATCGTAAAACTGAAATATCGTGAAGTTAATAAATTGAAAAACTGAAAATTTTTGAAAAAAAAAATCGTATCAAAAACTAAGAATTCAAAAAATCGAGAAATTGAACAATCAAAAAATCAAAACATTGAAATCCCAGTAAGTTGATAAATAGGAAAATTTAAAAAACAAAAATTTTAAAAATCCAAGAATTGAACAACAAAAAAAATCTAAGCCTGAAAACTCAGAAAATTGAATGATCGAGAACAAAAAATCTAAAATTTAAAAATTCGACAAATTGAAAAATCATGGAACTGAAAAATCGAAAAGTCGAGATAGTGACAAATCTAAAAGCCTAAAACTTTAAAAACTGAAAAATTAAAATATCGAAAAATTTAAAAACCGAAAAAACACAATATCAAAAATTTGAAAAATTGAAGAAACGAAATATTGCAAAATTCCAAAGCTGAAATATTGAAAAACCTAAAAATGGAAGGAAAATTAAAGAATCGAAACAGTGAAAAAACACCAAACTGAAACATTGAAAAATTGAGAAATGGAAAAATGGGAAAGTCAAAAAAATTAGTCTAAAGAGTTTAGACAGTACTTCCCTAGCTATCGGAAACGTGACGACTGCATGCCTATTATGTTTTTTTTTCACATTAGATTTCAAAGCATTCGGTTTTGTAGTTGCTGATTAAATCAATAAAATAAATTTGCGCATTCATTAAATTTTTTGAGTCACCCTGTATATCCGAATCCAAAAAATATGAATGGAATGATAAATTACAAGAAGAGACTCATCATATTTTGTAAATTTTAAATAGGATTATACGGCAAACTTTTGAGCTGACGTCATCAATTTTTTGGAGGGGATAAGCAAATATATTTGGACTAAAAATTTATTATGCTCTTTATAACCTTAAAACATTTGCAAGATTTCAAAGCATTGGGTTCTGTAGTTCCTGATTAAATCAATAAAATAAATTTACGCATTCATTAATTTTTGTATATGCAAATCCAAAAAACATGAATGGAATGATAAATCACAAGAAGAGACTCATCATATTTTATACAATTTAGATAGGATTTATTCAGCAAAATTTTGAGGTGACGTTATCAATTTTTTAGAGGGGATAAGTAAATATATTGTGATTAAAACGGTCCTGGTTTAATAACAAAAAAATATTGTTCGTCTATAAAACAAGCTCGTCTTAGACAAAGTATTCGTAAAAAAATATGTCGTAAAAAAATTTACGTAGGTATGCTGGTCCCGACTGCGATTATAGTTTAAATATTTTTTAGAAAATGCTGTCATGGATGTAGAAACATTTGTGACAGCCAAAGAGGTTTTTTTTGAGAAAATTATGTTTAAATTTAGACCAAATTTAAATAGACACTAGGCAACAGGCACATTTGGGCAAAAGAAAGAGAAATTAGGGTTACGGCTTCAAATTTTGGACGTATTTACAAACTTAGACCAACTACAGCAATAGCTAAAACTGTGGAGTCTCTGTTGTACAATACATTTAGAGGTAACAGTTATACATACTATGGACAGCAAAGTGAGGAAAAAGCTGTCAAGTGTTTTGAAATAAATAAAAATATAAAAACTGAACGGTGTGGCTTGTTTATTTCAAAACAATTTCCTTACTTGGCTGCTAGTCCAGACAGGGTTCTAGAGGATAGGAGTGCATTAGTCGAAATTAAATGCCCTTCAAAATCGCAAGATTTGTCTCCCGAAGAAGCGGTTAGAAAAAAAAATCAAATTTTGTACATTGACAGAGAATTGAAACTAAAAAAAAAAAATCATGATTACTACTTTCAAGTCCAAGGACAAATGCTTGTTATGGGTATTTCACAAGTTTATTTTGTTGTATGGACACCCAATGGAATAAATATAGAAAAAATTTATAAAGACGAAGAAATATATGTAAAAAGATGGCAGATAAACTTGGCAGATTTTGCTTTGGCGCATTATTGCCCGAAATAATTGATTCAAAAAGAAAGAGGAACCTGCCTTTGCGAGAGATTTTTTTAAAATAAATAAAATTTGTTTCTATTTTTTTATGTACTTTAATAATTTATTAGGAGTACAATTTTCATCACCGAGACTTGCATATTTTTATTATAAACTAGCTGACCCCGTGAACTCCGTTTCACCTACAATTTAATTTTGAATCTGCAAAATCGAATGCTTTGAAATCTTGCAGATGTTTTAAACATATGATAAGCATAATAAATTTTTATTCAAAATATATTTACTTATCCCCTCCAAAAAATTGATGACGTCAGCCCAAAATTTTGCCAAATGAATCCTATCTAAAATGTCCAAAATAGGATGAGACTATACTTGTGATTTATCATTCCATTCATATTTTTTAGTTTTGCTTATAGGGGGTGTCTCAAAAAAATTAATCACTGAGTCAATTTATTTTATTGATTGAATCAAGAATTGCAAAACTGAATTTTGAAATATTGCAGACGTTTTGAAGTTACTGTTTGACATGATGGGTTTTCAATCAAAATATATCTGTTTATCAAGCCCAAAAACTTGAAGACGTCATCTCAAGATTTTGCCGAATAAATCCTATCTAAAATGTGGAAAATATCATCAGTATATTTTCGTAATTTATCACTGCATTCATATTTTTTAGATTTGCTTTTACAGTGACTCAAAAAAATATATGGATCAGTCAATTTATTTTAGTGAATAACTCAAGAGCTGCAAAAATGAATACTTTGAGATCTTGCAGACGTTTTAAAGTTATTGTAAGCATGGTAAATTGTTAAGAATATTTATTTATTCCCCCCAAAAAATTGATGGAATGGCTCACTCGATTTTCGCAGATAATTTTGGGAATACAATACGGTTATTTTTAGTATTACACTGCACCAATCCAAGGTGGTATATCTACGTGTTGATAGTAAATGTTGATTAGGTCATCACAAAATTGTGTGAAGAAAAGACTCAACTCGAAAATGCTGAATATGTTTCATTATACTTTTGGTGCGAAGGAAGTTCTGTCGAAACAACGTTCGATCAATTTTTTGACAATGGTTGATATAAATAAAACTCAGTAGATGCTCATACTCGAAATACGAAGTATCTACTCGAATATCAAATCAAAATATTTCTAGTTTTTCTAGATGATACTAATACTTCAGTAAGTAACAGTTGATGCTCAAGTAGCATCTCGATACAACAAAAAAGGACAACAATGACAGTGTTCAACCATCAAGGCAAAAATCACCAAAATATAAGTTAGTATGGGGTAGACACCTTGAGATGGGAATCTCTATGGCCAGTGTTAGAAAAAACGCACTGCACAATTTATGAATAAATAAAAGTTAATTACATGAAAAGTTTTCGATATTCCTGCTCCTAATGTGTTTTTCAAACTGAATGCACCTTTTGACGACGTTTCACATTCATGAAAGTCACCATGTTTAGTTAAAATTCACTCTTACAACGATCCTACTGGTTTTCTAAGCTGCTTTACAGACAGCTCAGTTATTTGCCACGCCGATGCTCATTTCTAGATTAAATGCTCACAAAACGCGTAGATGTTCAGTTTGTGTCCGGGGAGATACAATGTTTCTAAGTAGGTACTCAGTACATAGAGTAGATGCTCAGGTATATAAGAGTAATAATAAAGTAGGTACTTCGTACTTCGAATATGAGTATCTACTCAGTTTTATTCATACCACCCAATGTCTCGCTTCAATGTTTGATTATGTTGATTATGAGCATAACGCTGATCAACTTCCATATCCGAATTACCCATGAAATAAATCAATGCGGTTTGCACCTGAGGTAGTTCGTCGCACATTTGATTCGTGGACCTATGTGAGGTTGTCGTCTTCTCGGCATTTTAATGAACTTCATAAAACGACACAGAATTATTTTCACAGTCAATCAAATCTGTAAATTTTGTCTTGAGAATTTTAAAATATTGAGAACTTCAAATTAAATCCTCGAATAACGGTAAAGTTTGAGGTTTTGTCAAAACCAACAAAGTGAATATAGGTAAATAGATTGGCAGATCAAAATGAATAAGAAACTTTCGCAATATGTAATTAAATTCACTTTAACCAAGACTTTTCTTAAAATAAACGACGTTTTTTTTACGAAAAAACAAAGAACGATTTCAAATGCAATATATGTACTTTTCACAATCACACGGAAGAATTAGTTTTGTATGACACGTCAGTTAGACGACAGGTCCGTCAGAGACGCCAACTATTGACAGTAATTCGAAGTGGCGATTCCCATACAAAATGTTTAGAATTTTTTAATTTTTTACTGTTCTTTTAAGTTATCCTTATTTTTTTTTATTTATAAAGCATCCCCGTAATATAAATAATGTTTCAAATTGGTCAAGCCGTTTTTGAGTCTTAGCGTGACTAATAGGAACAGCAATTGATTTTTATTTTATAGATGATTAATAAATGGGGGTTGGTGGTAGAAAGGTGAAAATTTAGGGTTATGTGTATTTTTTGATGTCAAATCTTAAAAAAATAAAAATAAAAAAATTTGTCAAGAAAATAGACAAAAATTTTTTAGGGTGGGCCACCCTTATCACTTAGGGGTTAAAAAAATAGTTTACAACCTATTGTCAGACCTACCGAATAGACATAAAAAATTTCATACAAATCGGTCTACCCATTTCGGAGAAGTTCGGTTACAAACATTGTGACGCGAGAATTTTATACATAATGCATTATTATTTTAGAACAAATATCATTACCATAAAAAAGGTTATACTGACTCGACCTTAAAAGATAGACATATGCTGTCGCGGACTTTTCTTTAGAACTTTTAGAGGGGAACAATTTCGTCATACATGATTTTTACGTAACTTTAACCGTTTAAGCAGCGTAAGCAACGGAAGCTGTCAAAGGAGGAATAATTTTCCCGTTTTTCCGAATTTTTCATTGCTACTTCGCTCCTAATGATCGTAGCGTGATTTTATATAGCCTATATGTAGATATGATACATGGACTATCCAACACAAAAAGATTTTTTGAATTTGAACCAGTAGTTTCTGAGATTAGCGTGTTCAAATAAACAACAGCTTCAGCTTTATTATATAAGTATAGATATATTTTGAAAATGATCTCTCGGCAAATGAAAACATATAAGGAATTCACGTTCGGTAGATGTAACTAGATTTGGTAACTTTTTTTTTAAGCTGTGTAACTGCGGACATAATTGTTCTAGTGTATAATGTATAACTGGAACGTCAGAAAGTAGGTATCAAAAATGTGACATGTAAGTAAGTAAATGTCAAACATCGAAAATGTGATGGTTTTGTGGTAATCTGCTGAATCTATTTTTGAATCAAGGAGAAAATCACATCCCTCTAAAAGCCCAAAGAGGAACCCGCATGTAAAATTGTGAATCTTTTCCCTTCACTAGTTTTTTTAGGGGGGCAAGATTTGATGTCATCATCATGGATCCACAATTTTATCATAGATCCGTTGTGGTATATCCATGTCTCATTCAAGAAAATGAAAAGTAAATCTTCACCACAATCACGCAATTGGAGATACCGCCCTAGTAATTTGATTCTGGTAGCGTGGTAGCTATAACGTGTTTAAAATGTGAAAAACTTTGCCTTCGGAAACCTAAATTTATACGTGTATTACGTACAATTATTCTCAAAGCCGAGTGTTTTCCCTCTTACAAAACAATAACGATTATAATATAAAACTTAAAAACCAATTGTAGAGCGGAACCAACAAAGTATGTAGGTGTATGTATATAAATCTGCGCAGTCGTCTTTCTGATTCTGATTATAAAATTAACGGCAACGGCGCCATTGTATTGGTATTATTTTAAAATTCGAAAAGCAGTCGACAACACCAGCGAACTTTACGGAAAATATTTCTGCCACCAGTTTAACTGTTTCCGTTTTACCCAAGCGTTGTCCCTTTTCTCTGTAATTTTTTGATAACCACGAAATATTTCTTGTCTCTTTTCCTTTAAAATGGGCTTTCTTGTGACTACTTTTGTGGAAATTGTTTCCACGCTGTATTTAAGGATTTTCTTGAAACGAAGCGTGTTAAAATTAGAAAAACTTTGTTTTTTTCCACACAAGTCAGATTTGACATTTGAATTAGAAAATTAGACAGTTCATACCAATCTTTAGTTTCTAGTGATCTTAAGATTGCAACTTAACCACAGAAAAATTTCTGTCAGCTACTTCTACCGAACGTGAATGCTTATTATACGAGGACTTTTTTCGAGTAAACAATGAAGGGAGAAGTTACTGGGCGTAGGGCTTTTTTAAAACACCTCCTTTCTGGGATAACACTTAGCTATTTATACGTGTTAAACAAAAGCTGTATTTTATATATTTTTTATTATTATTATAAATATGTTTATTAGTTTTATTAATTAAGAAAGCAAAATATATATTAACAATAATATTACAATGAATTTTTAGTAATCATGTGTATTGAATTCAGGAGCCTGAGTGGAGTAAAAATATTATAGTTCCCCAGTTTTAATTCGGTTTTATGATAGTACCTCATTGCATAAAAGTTAATTTTCTTAACAATAGATTACTACGGCCGGTCCTGGCGAGTTCCTTGCCATAAATTAGAAAAATCAGCCGAGAACTCTAACAATCAGCTTATGGTAAAGCAGGCGATAAGGGTTTTACCTGAAAGTCGCTTCCGTAAATTTTAGTGGCGCTCCTATCGGCAAAGTACTGAACTAACTGCTCAAATTCTGTCGAATTGATACCCATTTTTTTCAATTACTGTTAGTTTTGGTTAAAAACTCTGCTAACCAATAGATAATTAATTTTCCTCTGATATTCCTGTTAAAATTATTCGACGTATTTTGCATTAATTTGTGGTATATTTTGATTTTAATAAACACATTATTATTTAAACAAATTGTACCACTAACAAACATTTAATGATTCTGCGCCCTGTAAAAAGTGATGTTTTATCCATGTGCGAATTTTCAAGCGATTTTATGATGGTTATGACTCAAAAAACTTGAAAAGAAAACAGAAAATGGTGCTTTTTTACGATATTTCTCAGCCATATTTTTTTAGTTGATTGAACTGGTCTCTGCGCCCTAGAATATGAGAAAAGCTGCAGTTTGATGTATGACACATCTATATTAATATCATTTTTTCATACAAAAAACCAAAAAAATGTTATACCTCGTCTAGCGAGTCCCCTTAAATTTACATACCTTAGGCATGAATTGATTCGTGTCATCGGGTTGTTCGGGTTGCGTCGTAGTACAATTTGCCTCGTCTCTACCATTGGGACAATCTTTATCACCATCGCACACCCACGTGGTGTAAATGCACTTGTTCTGAGGTCCACCGCACGCAAACTGTATATCCAAACACGTGTTGTTATTGCAATTCATTTCATCTGAGCCGTCTCTACAATCCTTCTCGCCGTCGCATTGCCACGTCAACGGTACACACCTAACGCCGCCCGATTTACACTCGAACTCATCATCTGAAAAAAAAAAAACACAGTCACAACCGACTCATTTGGCTTTTCCCCGGACTCACGTTTGCAAGATGGCGCCTCCGGCCGGTCACAATTCTGCTCATCTGACCCATCTCTACAGTCGTTCTCGCCGTCGCATCTCCACTTCGTCGCAATACACCGACCATTGTTGCAAGTAAACTGGCCTTCAGTGCAGTTCTTCCTCGGACAATCCCTCTCGTCGGACCCATCCGAACAATCATTATCGTAGTCGCAACGCCAATACTGAGGTAAACACTTCCCGTCCCCACACACGAAATAGTTGGGTGGACACGTCTGAATACCACAGTGACTCTCATCCGACGAGTCACCACAATCATCTTCACCGTCGCATGTCCATCCGTGCGGTACGCACAAACCGTTGTTGCACGTGAAATGGTTCCCGTTGCACGTGTTGCCATATCGGGGACACGTGAAATTGAGCAGGGGCTCTACAGGACCAGGACACACACATTTCCCGTTATTGAGTCCCATACCTACAAAGAATTGTGGTTAGAGCGTTGATTGTGCTGAGTCGGCGCATTATTACCGTCTGGACATATACAAGCTTTCTGGTCTTTGCCGGGCATCCCCACGCAAATATAGGGGCACGAGGTATTCGTGCACGCGTTGGCACCGATTTGGATGCCGTGCGCGTATACCTTGAGGTCCATCAAGCCGGGGAGGTTCTTCCGGAGGACTTCCACCCCGCGGAAGCCGTCTTTGTCCGCGCTAAAAATAGCGTTGCGCTTCCAGTCGTCCCAGTACATGTTGTTTTTGAACACGGCTACCGCGAACGGGTGAGAAACGACTTCGTCGTGCGATATTACCAACTTGAAATAGTCGCCGTGGAGGTCGCTACTCGCTATATAGTCTTGTCGGGCGTCCACCCAGTAGATTCGTTCCGCGATGTAGTCAATGGTGATTCCGTTAGGCCACTCCACCCGTGGTTTCGCGAAGAGTTTCTTGATGTTGGTACCGTCTAATTCAGCGCGATTGACGGACGGGTCTTCGACTGACCAGTCAGTCCAGAACATGTAGCCCGCTTTGGGATGTAACGCGATACCTCTGGGTTTCTTCAAATCGTTGGGTTTTAAAATCGTGCGCCTCATCCTTCCACTGTGATTAATATCCGTGCGAATCAACTCGATCTTGGCCCGCATCCCATCCACGAAGTACAAAGTGTTGGAAATCCAATCCAAGGCCAAGCCTTCGATTGACGCCAAATCACTTGAAACTAAAATCTCCGACTCGCTGCTATTCAAACACTGGCGCCCGATCGTATCCAGCGCGATGTCGGCCCAATACACACAATTATTCTTCATATCGAAATCAATTGCAATCACATTCTTCAATTTCTTCACCGGTAATTCTTCCAGAGTCCGCGTTACCAAATTATATCTACTAATCCGTTCCCGTTGGGCGAAAAGCAAGAATTCTTGTACCTCGCCAAAGGGACAAGGTACCTCTTCCGGCATGTACTGGTTTTCGAAACCATCGATACAAACATCCCCTTGGATCTTCCTATAACCTTTTGTGCGCTTGTAGAACTTGCCGGGTTTGCAAGTTAGAGGTACTTTGTATGGGTCGCCCAGGATGGTGGTGTTCCGCACGCAGTGTCCAGGGGTTTCCGACCGGGTGAAACCGAAGTCGCTGAAACCACCTTTTAGAAAACAATAGTCGCGTCAAAGTGACTTAAGTACCATTCGTAGTCGTAGAAATCGCAGCCGCAAGGCATCATCGAGATGGGGGCGTCGAAGTCTTCACCGTTGTAGCAGTTGGCGTGGGGCATTCGACGCTGGTAAGTTAGCTGTTGGCCCAAAACGCATGGGATGTAGCTGCGATTGCCGCTGATCTGACTGGGTGACCAGGTTTTGTAGTCGTCCTGCAGAATTTTGTTTTAAAAGTATACAAAACGAAACCGCAGGATTATCTAATGACTACCGTTGTGACCACTGATAATGTTGTGGTCGGTTATATCTTTAAATTTTAATGAGTGGTGGTAAAAGTTAAAAATCCAACTAGTGGACACTTTTTGTCTACTGAAATATAAATTTCAATGTTGTTATTTTACTTAGCGCGCCGCTAATTAAATTGTCCGCATTTTCGCATGTTTAAAAATAATAACTCAACATTTTTCAAATCGTGACAAGTGAATCTGATAACAAAAATAGCCAAGGTCGTTACATATTCAACAAAATAAATTCCCATAATGTAACTTTGTTTATAAAGGATATGATCATTATAACCATAACAAATGCCGACTTGGTCTTGTCATCTGAATCGGTGACTAATGCAGATTATTTTTGCACCAATCGAATCGAAGTAAATACCCAATGTGAACCCCAGGTTTTGCCTAAATCATAAAAACGATTTTTTTCATCGTAAGCAGGAGTACTTAAAATAAGTCGTGACGTCATTTATACACTAAGAGTGTGCCGGCAATCGAAACACCCACTTTCCTGTCATGTTTACTTAAAAATTATGTTGTTTTAAGTATTTTAAGGCGATGACTCTGTCATTTAATTGAATTAAAATATGTAGTTGCCATTTTTACTATGGAAGAATCGAGTCCACTCGCCACTTTCATGTTTTTTCCACGTTTCATGACCCCTAGAGTACGAAAAAATAGGCCCCTCGTTTCCGTCTGTCTGTGTTGATTTTTATAAAACAGGTAAAATTTTGTATGTGTGTCGTGTAGATGGTAAAGCGTTAACCAATTTATCTGGCCATCTCCGACTAACAATAGAATGACGTCAACTCAAAATTTTAAATGTTATTTGTTATTGTTAAACTTTGTAATATAAATACTCCCCCACTTGTGGTTTATGAATCCGTGTTGAAGTTTTACACAAGGCATTAAACTAAATTATTCGATTTTTTAATTTTCCAGATTATCGATTTCTCAATTTTCCGATTCAGTTTTACGATTCTTCAATTTTTCAATTTCTGGCGTTTCTAAATTTTAGATTTTTTGAATTGTTGCTTAATCAATTTTTAGATTTTGGTTTCTCGAATTCTCGATTTCTCAATTTTTCGGGTTTTCAATTCTTAAAATTTTCGATTTTACTAGTTTTCTATTCCTCAGTTTTTCGATGTTTCAGTTTTGACGTTTTTCAGATTTTCAATCCAATTTTTTTTTTTTAAATTCTACGATTTTTCGATTCTTCAATTTTTTGATTTTTTTAAATGTTAAATTTTTCAATTTCTCGATTTTGGGCTATTTCGATTTCTCGATTTTTCGACTTCTCCATGTTTCAATTTTTTAGCCCCAATTTTTCAATTCTATAATTTCTCGATTTTTAAAATTTTTGGTTTCTCGATTTTTTTATTTTTCGATTTGTCAATTTTTCGATATGGCTTTTCAATGTTTCGATTTTTCACTTTTTCGCGTTCCTGAATTTTCGATTTTTTGGTTTCTCAATTAATGAATTTTTCCACTTATTTCTCGATTTTTCGATTTCGCCATTTTTCGATTTCTCAACTTCTTTGTTTCGGTTTCTGGATTTTTCAATTTCTCAGGTTTTCAATTCTTCAATTTTTCGATTCTTTATTTTTGGATGTTTCAGTTTTTCATTTCAATTTTTTTTTTTCAAAATTCTTCGACTTTTCGATTCGTCAATTTTTTGATATTTTAATTTTTCTATTTTTGTTAAATTTTTCGATTTCTCGTATTATTGAGATTTCGATGTTTCGATTTATCGCTTTTTTTTTAAATATGTAATATCAATTTTTATATTCTTAATTTTCCGACCTTGGGCTATTTTGATTTTTTGACGTTTCAATTTTTTATTTTTTCCATATTTCGAGTTTTCGGTTTTTCGAAATTTTGATATTTCAATTTTTGTGTCCCAATTTTTCGATTCTTCAATTTCTCGATTATTCAAATTTTCGATTTTTTTATTTTTCACTTTTTGGGGTTTCTAAATTTTAGATTTTTTGATTTCCCAATTTCTCGATTTCTCGACTGTTTCTTTCGGTGTCCCAACTTCATGATTTCTCGATTTTTCAGGTTTTCAATTCTTCAAATTTTCGATTGTTCAGTTTTTGGATATTTTAATTTTTATAATTTTTTTAAATTTTAGATTTTTCGATTTCCCCTTGACTTGATTTTTCCGTTTTTCGATTTTGGGCTATGTCGGTTTCGTGCTTTTTTGACTTCTCGTCTTTTCGATTTCTCGATTTTTTAATGTTTCAATTTCTCAATTTTTTTCATTTTTCGATTTATCAATTTTCCGATATTTCAATTTTTGGCGTTTCTAAATTTTTTATTTTTTAAATCGTTGCGTAATCAATTTTTGGATTTTCGACTTTTTGATGTTTCGATTTCTCGATTTTTCTGGTTTTCAATGCGTCAATTTTTCGATTTTACAATTTTTCTATTCCTCAGTTTTTCGATATTTCGGTTTTGGGGTTTTTCTGGAATTTTCTATTTCTCGATTAATTGATATTTCGACTTCCCGAAGTTTCAATTTTTTAATTTTTCGATATTTCGAGTTTTCGCTTTTTCGATCTTTCAATTTTTTTGTCCCAATTTTTTGATTCTTCAATTTCTCGATTTTTCCAATTTTCGATTTTCCCATTTCTCGATTTCTCTGTTTCGGTTTCTCGACTTCATGATTTCAGATTTTCAATTCTTCAATTTTTGGATTCTTCAGTTTTTCAATGTTTCAGTTTCTAGATTCTTAAATTTTTCTTCTTTTTTTAAATTTATCGGTTTATGAATTTTTCGGTCCTTCAGTTTTCTGATATTTTAATTTCATGATCGTTTATTTGATTTTTCAGTTTTTCGATGTTTCAATTTTTCGATTTTGGCGTATTTCAACTTCTGGATTTTTTTACTTCTCATCTTTTCGGTTTCTCGATCTCTTGATATTTCGATTTCTCGATGTTTCAATTTTTTAATTTTTAAATTTTTCGATTCAATTTCATTTTTTGGTGTGTCTAAATTTTCGATTTTATTATTTCGCAATTAATACATTTTTCAACTTATTTCTCGATTTTTCAAGTTTTCAATTCTTCAGTTTTTCAGTGTTTCAGTTTTGGAAATTTTCAGTTTTTAGATTCTTCAATTTTTCTTCTTTTTTTAAATTTATCGATTCTTCATTTTTTTGATATTTTAATTTTATGATTTTTTAAATTTTTGATTTTTCGAATTCTCGTTTATTTGATTTTTCAGTTTTTCGATATTTCAATTGTTAGATTTCTCCATCTTTTGATGTCTCGATTTCTCGATGTTTCAATTTTTTAATATTTCGAGTTTTCACTTTTACGATCTTTCAATTTTTTATCCCAATTTTTCGATTTTTCAAATTTTGGATTTCTGGATTTTTTTTATTTTTCAATCTTCCGATTTTTACTTTTTGGCGTGCCTAAATTTTAGATCTTTTTACTTCTCATTTAATAAATTTTTCAACCATTATCAAATTTTTTTTTTCAATTTATCGATTTATCAATTTTTCGATTTCTCGTTTATTTGATTTTTCAGTTTTTCGATATTTTAAATTCTCGATTTTGAGATATTTCGATTTCTCGATTTTTTGAGTTCTCGTCTTTTTGGATTTCTCGGTGTTTCAATTTTTTAATTTTTCGATTTGTCAATTTTTCGATGTTTCGATTTTTCATTCTTTTTGTCCAAGTATTTCGACATTTAGTTTTGAGGTTTTTCAATTTTTCCATTCAATTCTTCGATTTTTCAATTTTTTAACATCAGATTTTTCTATTTCCCGTTTTTCGATTTCCCAATTTTTTAACATTTCGATTTCGATTTTACGAATTTTTCCATTTCGAGATTTCTCAATTTTTCGATTTTTTTGATATTTCAAATGCTCGATCTTTGGTTTTTCGGATTTCGATTTTTCGGTTTTTCAATAAAAAAAATATATACATTTCTCGATTTAATCTAGTTGTTCCATTTTTCGAAAGGCATTTTTCCCGTTGGTTATCTGCTTTAAATGCATATGTTTCATATTGTATTTTTTTATATTGCAATTCTAAACAAGTCAATCAGTTTTCCTTTCCACAAGTATTTAGGTTTAAATAATTAAATATCGTGACAACAACCAATTCCGTCATCATCGTTCTAACGACATAACGACCAACACATAATAATAGACTAGTAATAATTTTTTTTCACATTTACTGAAACACGGTAGTTATTTTTTTTTTTTTATTTCAAGTAATATGACTGCAGCGGAGTTGCATGTTACAAAAATATCACAAAATGCGTGTAGAGTGGAGATAGTTTACGAAAAACATGTCAATACAACGACTCAGTAAACGTAAAAATGTAGAGACGAGTCCATTTACGAATTCAGGGGGAGAAACTAAACTGGTCGTACCCTCCTACATTTTGTTTTGTGATACGCCACTGATCAAGGCTTACGTGACAAATCGTGACACTAGACAGGTTTTTCCCATGGTATTTCGACTCTAAAAATAAACGTCTTTCTCTCTTTATTATTTTTTTCATGATATAATAGTTCTTTACTTTCATATGAATTGTAGGAAATTCCACAAATATGGTGAGGTAATCTGGCGCCTCCAGAGAGCGAAAATCAACGTATTATGATCATTAATTTAGCTTCACACAAATTAAATTAGCCCAAATTTGCATTTAGTCCCCGTCGAAAAAATTGCAAACTCGCGAACAACGCCCGTGTTATTTATAACCAAATCGCAATTATCCCTACTCACCTTCGAGCAGTTATACTTGAACGCCTTAATCAAATCCAATTTAACAATAATCCACTGATGCTCCTCCGGCAGGGACCCAAACATGGTAAACACCGTCGTGTTCTCCCCCGGCTCAGTCATCAGCCCGTACAACCTAATATCCTCACTATGAAATTCCGCCTGCTGCCACTCCTCCCCCTCGTCCGTCGAGTACAAAATATACCTCGTCTCGCCCCTCAGCTTAAAATACTTGACAGCTGCCAAAATACCACCATGGTCGCCCATATTGAAAAAGAACAAGTCGCGCAACGTCTGCCTCCAGGTCAACCCGGCATCGTTGCTAATGTAGACCCCGTAATGACCCTTCAGGGACTTCCCCAGAACACCGGTCGCTATGATTATACCAGGGGCGGACTTGCTCGACAGAATACTGATGGAACGAGTGTCCGGGTAAAGCTGGCTAAACTTTTGACTTAAGTGAAGTGAGCAGTTGTTATAGACTGAGCAGGAATTGGGCTGGCCTTCGACGTCTCGGTCGGGGGCGACGATCAAGCGCCAGGAGCGACCATGGTCGAAGGTTATAACCGAACCCAAGTGTTGGGGGCCGAGGTTGTTGCCTTGGGGTTTAGTTAAGACTCGGGAGGCGATGTAGATGCCTGAGAGACCCTCGACTTTGTAGACGTCGGCAAAGGCGTCCTCGGACACGTGACTGAAACAAAACAACATGATACAAACGGGGGACCAGTTTTTTCGTGCTCTAGAAAAATAAAAATTAAGACTTACTGTATCCACGTGTCGTGCCACGTGCTATTCGGAAAATAGCACAGCACATTTTCCAAAGACAAAGTAAACTTAACAATCCCATTTCCACTGTCCAGATTTTCCGAAACATACAGGTGTGAAACCGTGTCTGAATGGCTGATCGTCACAAGCGCTCTATTACTTGTGACGTCAACGATAAAATAACTCCTGATTTCCAGTTGCGTGTCGAAAACACACTTCACCTTCTTTCCCAGTTTGTAAGACACGTACAACTCCAAAGCCCCTTTAGACGACGACTTCGTAGTAAAAAGGTAGTCTCCTTTGACGTAAAAATCCTTGATATCCGTAGCCTGTACCATAACAGACCGGTTTGAAAACAAATCGTTCGAATACAAGATGGCGTTGTATCCGCTGGGTTCCATCCGTTGCACGACCAAAGTATGGCGGAAGTCGCTCTCTTTCACCCAATAGAAACTCTTGACGAAATTCTGCGTCTGTTTGAAAGTATTCCCGAAATCTTCGGTCACCCATAATTTATGCGAAGAATCGTGTTTATCCAAAACCACAAACACAGATGGTTCGAGTTCGTGGAACGACACCTCACTCGGAGTAAAATCCAACTTGATTTTTTTAATATCTCGTCCGTGATTGGTCGTAACGAAAAGTAAATTGTTTTTGACATCGGCGAACACAAACTAAAACAAAATCGTGTTTAGGGAATGGGCGCCCTCTATCGGTGGCTCTACTCACGTGAGTGTTGTACTTAGGGTGGTTGTAGAACTTCTCCAAGGTGGCGTAGGTCGCGGGTGGCCCGTCCGAGACCTTGAAGAGTTCGGTTTTGTTGTTGTAGGTGTCGCCGTAGTCGTAGGAGATGTACACAGCTGAAGGGCCTACATTTGCTGGCATTAAACCCGGAATTAGGGCTGGAGTGGGGTCTCGTGCCAGACATATGATGACGTTGCTGCCTTCACCCACCCAATGTACCATGAGCTGCTTATGGGTGTCGTTCAGATGGTTTATCTGCAAGTAAAACTCATAATAATGCGACCGCAGTGTACAATTGTGACGCATTTCCGCGCAAATATTGATCATTTATGGAAAGTTATCTGATATGTTGTGTTAATATAATTTATAACGGATGCCACTTTCCACAATGGGTTCGGGTTTCATGATATGGAGATGAATGTAAGTGGAAATTTCATGGAAATAGAACGAGGTTGCACGGGGGTGTATGGAAGGGTCGCTTATAGTTCAGGGTTGCTTATTTGACACACTATACATTTTTTAGAGGTCTTGTAGAGCTTGTTTTTTTGAATTCATTAATGTATCATACTTTGATCACCCATACGCCGCTACTGTCTAGCACTCCAACACAGTATGTAACAAAAATACACTTGTTTATATTTGGTCGACAACCCATGATAGGAAACGGATTAACAATTCCTCCAAAAATATGAATGCGTTGATAAAGGGCAATACTATACTTGTATGCATAACGTTTTACTATTTAATTTTGAAATTGCAAAATCGAATGCTTTAAAATTATAACATAGATTCTTGGGAAAAAATCAAATTTGTACAATTTTTCGTTTTCTGGATTTTTAAATTTTTCAGCTTTTGGTTGTTTCGATTTCTTGACTTTTCAATACATATTTTAATTTGGGATTTTCAGTTTTTTGATTTTTAAATTTTTCAATTTCTAGATTCCTCCATTTTTTTTGATTTTTCATTTTTCGATTTCTCATTTTTCCAATATTTCAGTTTTGCAATTCTTCAATTTTTCGATGTTTCACTTTGGGGATTTTTCAGTTTTTCAGTTACATTTTTTTCCAAAATTCTTCGATTTATTCATATTTTCTTTTTCAATTTTTTACATGTTATATTTTGTGATTTCTCTAATTATTGAGCTTTCGATGTTTCGATTCATCGATTTTTCTTTATTTATATTTCGAAATAGCCGAAAATCGTAAAATTGATTTTCGGCTATTTCGATTTCTCGACTTCTCGAATTTCCAATTTTTTAATTTTTCGATATTTTGATTTTTCAGTTTTTCGAAATTTAGATCATGGAGTTTTTTTGTTTCTTGATTTTTCTAATTTTCAATTTCTCGATTTTTTCATTTATCGATTTTTGTAATTCTTTGTTTCAATTTTTCGATTCTTCAATTCCTCGATTTTTCAATTTTTGGCGTTTCTAAATTTTTTATTTCGACTTCGATGTTTCGGTTTCGCAAATTCTTGATTTCTCAATTTTTCGGGTTTTTATATTTCAGTTTTACGATTCTTCGATTTCTCGATTTTTGGCGTCTCTAAATTTTTTATTTTTTGAATAGTTGCTTAATCAATTTTTCGATTTTCGACTTTTCGATGTTTCGGTTTCTCGAATTCTTGAGATTTCGATGTTTCCATTTACCGATATATTTTTTTTAATTTCAATTTTTAATTTTTTGATTTTCGGCTATTTCAGTTTCTCGAATTTTTCAACTTCTCGATGTTATAGTTTTTAAATTTTTCGATATTTCGATTTTTCGAAATTTCGATCTTTCAGTTTTTTGTCTCAATTTTTCGATTCTTCAATTCCACGTTTTTTCGAATTTTCGATTTCTCGATTTTTTTATTTATCTATTTCTCAATTTTCCGACACATATTTCAGTTTTACGATACTTCGATTTCTCGATTTTTCAATTTTTGGCGTCTCTAAATTTTTTATTTTTTGAATTGTTGCTTAATCAATTTTTCGATTTTCGACTTTTCGATGTTTCGGTTTCTCGAATTCTTGAGATTTCGATGTTTCCATTTACCGATTTTTTTTTTATTTAAATTTTTAATTTTTTGATTTTCGGCTATTTCAATTTCTCGATGTTTCAATTTTTAAATTTTTCGATATTTCGATTTTTCGAAATTTCGATCTTTCAGTTTTTTGTCTCAATTTTTCGATTCTTCAATTCCTCGTTTTTTCGAATTTTCGATTTCTCGATTTTTTCAATTTTTGGCGTCTCTAAATTTTTTATTTTTTGAATTGTTGCTTAATCAATTTTTCGATTTTCGACTTTTAGATGTTTCGGTTTTTCGAATTCTTGAGATTTCGATGTTTCCATTTACCGATATTTTTTTTAATTTAAATTTTTAATTTTTTGATTTTCGATTGTACAATTTTTCTATTCCTCAGTTTTGCGATGTTTCAGTTTGGGAATTTTTCAGTTTTTCGATTAAATTTGTTTTGAAAATTCTTCGATTTTTCTATTCTTCAATTTTTTGATATTTTAGTTTTTCAATTTTTTAAATGTTATACTTTCCGACTTCTCGAATTATTGAGATTTCCATGTTTCGATTTATCGCTTTTTTTATTTAAATTTTTATATTTTTAATTTTTCAATTTCTCGATTTTTCAATTTCTTAATCAGTTGATATTTCGATTTTTGTTTTTCGATATTTCGAGTTTTCGCTTTTTTGATCTTCCAATTTTTTTGTCTCCATTTTTCGATTCTTCAATTTCTCGATTTTTCAAATTTTCGATCTCTCAATTTTCCGATAAGATTTTTCACTTTTTGGCATGTGTAATTTTTCGATTTTTTATCAGTTAATACATTTTTTAACTTATTTCTCGATTTTTTTATTTTCCCATTTCTCGATTTCTCGGTTCAATTTTTGAATTTTTTAAGTTTCTAATTTTCAATTTCTCGATTTTTAAAATTTTCGAATTTTTGATTGTGCAATTTTTCTATTCCTCAGTTTTTCGATGTTTCAGTTTGGGGATTTTTTAGTTTTGCAGTTAAATTTTTTTCAAAATTCTTCGATTTTTCGATCCTTCAATATTTTGATATTTTAATTTTTCGACTTTTTAAATGTTATTTTTTTTAAATTAAATTTTTGTTTTTAAATTTTCGATTTTCGGCCATTTCGATTTCTCGGTATTTCAATTTTTAATTTTTCGATTATTCAATTCCTCGATTTCCCGATTTTTCAAATTTTCGATTTCTCAATTTTCCGATAGTTTTACGATTTTTCAATTTTTAGATTTTGCAATTTTTGGTGTTTCTAAATTTTTTATTTTTTGAATTGTTGCTTAACTAATTTTTCGATTTTTCGGGTTTTCAATTGTTCAAGATTTGGATTCTTCAGGTTTCTAATTTTCAATTTCTTACTCAATTTTTAAAATTTTCGAATTTTCGATTTCACAATTTTTCTATTCCTCAGTTTTTCGATGTTTCATTGTTGAGCTTTTAGTTTTCCAATTCAATTTTTTTTTCAAAATTCTTCGAGTTTTCGATTCTTCAATTTTTTGATATTTTAATTTTTCCATTTTTAAAATGTTAAATTTTTCGATTTCTCGAATTATTGAGATTTCCATGTTTCGATTTATCGATTTTGTTTTAATTTAAATTTATATTTTTAATTTTGGGATATTTCGATTTCTCGATGTTTCAATTTATTTGTCCCAATGTTTCTATTCTGCAATTTATCGATTTTTCAGATTTTCGATTTCTCATTTTTTTTATTTTTTGATTTCTCGATTTTTTTATTTTTCGATTTCTCAATTTTCCGATATGATTTTTCAAATTTCCGATTTCTCAATTTTTCGATTTCTTGGTTTTTCATTTTTCGATTTTTCAGATTTCTAATTTCCAATTTCTCAATTTTTAAAATTTTCGAATTTTCTATTCCTCAGTTTTTCGATGTTTCAGTTTGGGGATTTTTCAGTTTTTCAATAAAATTTTTTTTCAAAATTCTTCAATTTTTCGATTTATCGATTTTTTTATAATTTCAATTTTTATATTTTTAATTTCACGATTTTTCGAATTTTTAATTTCTAAATCAGTTGATATTTTGATTTCTCGATCTTGCAGATTTTTTGTCTAAATTTTTCGATTCTTCAAGTCCTCGATTTTTAGATTTTTCAAATTTTCGATTTTGCAATCTTTGGTGTTTCTAAATTTTTTATTTTTTAGAATTGTTGCTTAATCAATTTTTCGATTTTCGACTTTTCAAAGTTTCGGTTTCCCGAATTCTTGATTTCTGGATTTTTCGGGTTTTCAATTCTTCAATTTTTGGATTTTTCAGGTTTTTAATTTTCAATTTCTCGATTTTTAAAAATTTCGAATTTTCGATTGTTCAATTTTTCTATTCCTCAGTTTTCCAATGTTTCAGTTTGGGGATTTTTCAGTTTTTCGGTTAAATTCTTTTTCAAAATTCTTCGATTTTTCGATTCTTCAAATTTTTGATATTTTAATTTTTCGATTTCTCGAATAATTGAGACTTCGATGTTTCGATTTATCGATTTTTTTTTATTTAAATTTATTTATTTTTAATTTTCGATTTTGGGAGATTACGATTTCTCGATGTTTCAATTTATTTGTCCCAATTTTTCTATTCTTCAATTTATCAATTTTTCAAATTTTCGATTTCTCGATTTTTTTATTTTTCGATTTCTCAATTTTACGATATGATTTTTCAATCTTCCGATTTCTCAATTTTTCAATTTTCAAAATTTTCGATTTTTTGGTTTTTCATTTTTCGATTTCTCATTTTTCCAATACTTCAGTTTTGCTATTCTTCAATTTTTCGATTTTTCAGATTTCTAATTTTCAATTTCCCGATTTTTAAAATTTTCGAATTTTCGATTTTTCGACTTCTCGAATTTTTAATTTCTTAATCAGTTGATATTTTGATTTCTCGATGTTTCAGTATTTTAATTTTTCGATATTTTGACTTTTCGGTTTTTCGATCTTGCAGTTTTTTTGTCTAAATTTTTCGATTCTCAAGTTCTCGACTTTTCAAATTTTCGATTTTGCAATTTTTGGTGTTTCTAAATTTTTTATTTTTTAGAATTGTCGCTTAATCAATTTTTCAATTTCTCGATTTTTCAAAATTTCGAATTTTCGATTGTTCAATTTTTCTATTCCTCAGTTTTTCGATGTTTCAGTTTGGCGATTTTTCAGTTTTTCTGTTAAATTCTTTTTCAAAATTCTTCGATCTTTCGATTCTTCAAATTTTTGATATTTTCATTTTTCAATTTTTTAAATGTTATATTTTTCGATTTCTCGAATAATTGAGACTTCGATGTTTGGATTTATCGATTTTTTGTAATTTAAACTTTTATATTTTTAATTTTTCGATTTCTCGAATTTTCAATATGTTAATCAGTTGATATTTCAATTTCTGGATGTTTCAATTTTTCAATTTTTCGATATTTCGAATGTTCGCTTTTTCGATCTTTCAATTTTTTGTTCCCATTATTCGATTCTTCAATTTCATTTCAAATTTTCGATTTCTCCATTTTTTTATTTTTCGATCTCTCAATTTTCCGATAAGATTTTTCAATCTTTCGATTTTTTGATTTTACAATTTTTCTATTCGTCAGTTTTTCGATGGAAACATCGAATTGAAAATTTTTCAGTATTTCAATTCAATTTTTTTTTCAAATTCTTCGATTTTTAAAATGTTAATACATTTTTCAATTTCTCGAATTTGAGATTTCGTTTATCGATTTTTTCAAATCTAAATTTATACATTTTTAATTTTCGATTTTGGGATATTCCGATTTCTCCATTTCTCGAATTTTCAATTTCAAGGAAGGACACATGCGGTATGCAGTGTAATACTAAAAATAACACTGAGGTGTACAGTTTTATAGATTTGAACAATAAAACAAATACAAGAGTACGCTATTTCATAAAATTTATTGTAAACATTTTTGAGATGTCATGACATTGACAGAGGGAAATTGGACAAATTTTGGTAAGCGTTTACCATCTAAATGATATTCCTAATATAAATGCAAAATTTGACAACAATCGGCCCAATACTTTCGGAGATTATGTGTCTAATAAAATCGGGACGGCCGACAGACGGACAGACAGACAGACAGACAGACGATCCCGGAAGACCTATTTTTTCGTACTCTTGGGGTCATGAAATGTCGAGAAAACGTAAAAACTTTCGTTTAGCTTGTGATTAATGAGAGATAACTAAATAACTGTTATTTGTTTAGATAAGATTTCGAGATAAGTGTTTATTTTTGACAAACTCATACATGTTTTTCTCTTTCTCACCTCTGTGAGATTGCACAATGTGAACTCCGGCGATTTTTCAATGCCAAACAGAATGATAAACTCTTATTAAATATTTTAAGATCTTCGATCTTCCATAGGGGAGTGGTATGTACTTATTATTTATAGCACTCGCTAGATTGTAAATCGCTTTAGCAAAATTGGTCGAGCCACAAAACACTTCTTCGTGTAGAATGTACATAAATTAAAACACATAAAATAATTAAACTAACAAATTAAACAATTTATGTGGTATATCTATTAATCTAGAATCTTCCGTTAATTACGAACACTAAAATCCTTATCAAACTGATTAAAAAAATTAGGAGCACAATAACAACCAGGAATTATTTATTGTGTGTTCAGTTTCAGCCAGTTCGGTTATTTCAATAATAGATAAACTCCACTGTTGCTTATTTGAATTTTAAAACAAACCGTGATAAGAAATTTCCATTATTTCAAACTATGTACAACACTACCAAAAATTAAATTGATCATAAAACAACCAATTTCGGGCCCGCGGTTTGTGCATTGTGTTGCCATGGTACTATTATTTTAACCATAAAACGACCATCTGTGGTTGATTTAGCAACAAATTACACAAGTCGATACCGCGTTTATATCCCCCAAGTAAACAGAAAACCCATTTGTGGAAAAAATGAATCACTAGCACTGTTCACGTTTCAAAGTAAATAAAGTGTGGTCGGAAAATAGAAAACCAATAAATTACGTCCATCTTCACTTCAACTTGATTGTATTTCCGTTTTAAACGGCTCTCTCATGAACAGGATGTCCAGTAATGCTAGTGACAATACGGGCGCAAATAGGAGGGTAATTTACTCCACACTAATGAGTGATAATAACACGTACGCGTTCAGATAACACGAATTAAGTGTCGTCGAGAACGCTGGAGTAGCGAAAGTTCTAGTGACTCGAGAAGCAGAAGAATTGGATTCAAATCAAAAGTACATATTTTGGTCAAAACGAACGTCTATAGTTGAGGCTTTGCCTACACCGAATTACTACACAATGATGTTGTTGTGATGGATAATGCGATTAGACAATAGAAGTCCCCAATGAATCGATTGTTTTAAGTAAAATTTCAACATTTTTGTTCGTATGGTTCACATACACAAAAATCCCGAACACAGTAGATCTTGAACGACCTTGCTAAATTTTATTGACTTACTGTCAAATTGAACCCAACAAGTTGGCGTAGGCGGATGCGAAATCACCTATTCAATGTAATAACACTGTAGTTTTAGGGCCAGCTTATACCAGGTAAATAAATATTTAATTCGAATTAAAATTTAAGGTGGGATTAACCCGTGAACCTGAGGATTTAATTGGGTGAGTTTGGTCACGTGATGGATTAATTGTTTGATTGAATTAATGACAATACGATCGTATTGAAGTGTGCTGTGATTTAGGTAAACTGATTTATGGATATTCTGTCTGTATATACAGACTACAGTAAAAGTAAATATTTTGAAAAACCAGTGACACGTGACCTATATAATATTATTTTTTACGAATCGGGTTTTTCCGGGAAAACAAAGACCCACCCTAAAATAGTTAAAGCGCAGTTTTCCAAACACCAAAACGTGGTAGTTTGGATTGGTTATGGTTTAACAAATTCGCTTATCCTTAGCTGTTGCTACCAAAACACTGGAAATTAACAACCGACGTGTAAATCCCCCAGCTGCCACTATCTGTGTTTTAACCGCAGGCATTACGTATTAATCTGGTCATTTATCAACCTCTTCACATTACTCAAGATTGTGTAAGATAGATTTCGCAAATAATTCTACTTTTTCAAAATCTGGGGGTTCCCTTGACATTCATCATACATCTCAAGGTTAAAATCGATCCCCACGCGGCGAAAACAAATCGATCCTCTACATAAACACTAAACACAAAGATGGTCCACTGCCAATGAAATATTTTTAAAACGATTCAAAAGCGACCCTTTGCCAGTTGTTTCCGAGCAAGTAAACACTAACACGTGACGTACGCAAGTATAAAAATCGTCCACGTATGAATCGGCACTTTTTATATAATAACCGGCTAATTACCTTCGGAACTATGGTGCTGTTCGCGGAAGACCCCGTCGATCTTTTTTGTATATTATGGGATTGTGACAGTTCGTCATCTCTGTCGATAATAACTGTCCTCGTTAGTCCCTGCGGCGGGTCGGCGTAGCCGTGTAACGTTCTTCTGTATCTCTCGTGTTCCGCCGTACCATTATCCACAAAAAAATGGCACAAAAACAACAAAACAGTCACTCTTTTCATTGTGCACCAACCGCTTCGACAGTCAGCTGATGACTGAAAGAAATGCGTCGTGTGTCAAAAAGTGGGAGTGGGGCAGAACTGTCAATGCGGACGCGGGAAGTTTGAAAACTGCCAAATCACGAAGTTATTTTCGGCGAATTTTCGTGCCTTGTAAACAAGGACGAAGGGGTGGATATAATACCTACTGCCAGTTTTTATTTTTTTAAATAAATTTTCCTTGTACGATTTCAAAAATTAAAAATTTTTAACAAAATTAAAATCGTAATAATGAAAAAACGAACATGACGCATGCGATCTTTGCCACAATAATGAGTAATATTCATCTTGAGTATATCTTTTGCGATTATTTAGAATCCCGTGGGACTGTCATAGGTCCAAGGTCTACAATTCTATAGTTTGTCATCAACCAAAAACCACCAAGTGACGAAGAATCTTGTTTGAAAAACTTGGTCTGCTAAAATTCAAACTTATTACAAAACAACTCAATTAAACCGAAATCAACAAGTTTAAAATCAGATATTTAAACATGGATATATTTATAGCACATGATGAAATTCATTACGTTTTCGTAATGTAATAAAAAGGTTCCTCTTTTCATTTCGTAAAGGTTACAACTGAGGACGTTTTACATCCTGTGCGATAACAAATGTGGGTCATTTTGACGAATGTGTGTGTCACTTGCGGTTACTAGGTTGTGAAAATGCAGATTCCGCGTTTCCGTACGTTTATCCAAAGTCTGTCTGTCGACAATATTTTGTCAGTTTTCCCGAATCAGTGCCGATCACCATCAAAGTTTATCAAATTGTCTTCTCAGAAAAGAATGCAGGAAGTTTATACTTATACGCAGAACTGTTGATACTAAGAAAGCGCGACTTCCGCAAATAATGTTATCGATTCTTTTGTATTTCTGACCTTAGTGCTGATACTGTTTGTTTAGTTTATGCGCAAACAAGAAAACAAATTTATAAACGTGTCATTTAAAGCATTACGGGGTACGTGGTCAAATTGGTCAGATGTTTGCTACAAGTATTACCAAAAAAGTTACTCAGTTATTTGACACTACTTAGTAAAGTATGCGCGTTGTGTTTTTATTCTGATGAGGTAAGATCGTCTCGTGTGCTATTAGCAACAGGAGCGAATAGTTACGAAATGGTTTATTATTGGATAATTGCAACCCCATTTAACTTTTAATGGGATAAATTGAGGATATGTACGCGCTGTAACACTTGTAAACAACGGTAAAAAGCTGCTTTCGTGACTATGACGGAGTTGAATTACTCGTATTTAGTTTTTCCACGAGTTTAGAATTTCCGTCCAGCGATAATCGACGTGGATGCCGGTTTCTGCTTGTAGTGTCTACATGCAAAGTTCGCCGTCTTATCAAATGTTGACACCTTGGCGCAGTGAGTCACTCGCATGTGACTTGGTTTATCTTTGCGTCACTCATTCCTAACAATTACATTTTTTAGATATTTATCTATTTACTTATGTTAAAAATTAAATGTCAAATACAATGAAGTGCATTAGTCTGGTACGGCTTAGGACTAACTTGAAAAGAGCTTGACTTAATTCAAGATGAATTGAAGACTTCAGAGAAAATATCTGGTGGGCTTTCAGTTGAAGTAAAACGAGTATTTAACTCTAGATCGATTAGGGTGGATTAGATTCGAAGGACCAAAAAATTTGCAAGAAATTGCTTGAAACAAGTTTATAAAAATGATCACTGTGATTTTCCAGTCGTAATGTTGGTTGCCTAAACATGCCTCTGTCACCTCTGTCACAGCCTTTGTTCTCTAAAGTGTAATTTATAAACTTGTTGACGTTGAAATTCCCGTTGCAGTTGCTGTTCCTACTGACGTTGCTTTTTAAGTTTCTTGTAGGCGAAATAAGTCTACACATAATTATTATTATTAAGAAAAAAAAAAAGGCAAAATGTAGCCCCGCCCACCCACCCTACCGGGGCTTAATTGCAAGATTTGTCTACAAGAATTTACCATTTTAAACATGTTTTAAGTTTCTTGTTCTGAAAAGATGGCTGTGTATATTAAGAAAAAAAGCAAAATATGAGCCCCGCCCACCCGCTCTGTCTCAATTGTGATAATTTTTATATTTTGTCTTTTTTTTCTTAATATAGATCGTATTCTTTGAACAACACGATACTCAAAAACATATCTTTAATTTCTTGTAAAGAACTACGTATTTTGCAGTTAAGCTTCGCTCCCTTGGCTTACGGCTAATAAAAAAAATCATCACAATTGAGAAAGGGTGGGTGGGCGGGCTTACATTTTGGCTTTTCATTTTAATATGTGTAGACTTCTTTTCACAGCATAAAACTTAAAACATTATGGTGACCGAATTTGAATTTGAAAAAAAATTCAATCAAGACAATCGTTAAACATAGGCAACCATGTGCACGTTTAGTTCTTTTCCGGTAGTTGGTAGCTAACTCCTAGGGAATTTTCTGTTGAGAGGGTTGGTAGAAGTTGATTTGGTGGTGAGTTAGCTAGGTTAAGTTTAGTTGGTTTGGTAGTTAATAAAAAAGGGGAAGCCTTTGTTTAACGACAATTAATCGTAACGACGACGGCACTGTTTCCGCCAACACGCGTAGCTAATTCTTGCGGTTTTTCCAAGTGGAAAATGCGCATTTTCGACCGACGCTAACATGTGTTGTAGATTTGTTTTGTTGTTTGTAAATTCAAAGTTCAGGTTAGGAGTTTAATCGTTAACTAGTTCTAACACAATTTAACAGTCAGGAATTTGTTTAGATAATCGTCGAGTGCTAGGAGTTTTCATGAAATTCACTTAGTCAGGATTCACCCTTTGTTTACCAAATTATGAATAAGTTTCTGGATGCTTATACTTAAGAGTTACATAATAACTTCATTTTCGGCAATTAAATCAATCTAACGTTACCCCACTCTGGGAAAAACCGTGAAAGTGCGGTAGAATTCATAATATCGTGCACTGAGGTACGGGGGGATTAAAAATCTCTCCCTTTAGGCAATTATCATCGTATCATCGTCACATCACCGAGATATATTCTCTCGCAACGTTGAAAATTACATTACCGAGAAGGTTTCTAGCAACACCTGATATATTTTGTGTTCTTTATTTATCATGTGTTTTGTTTGGAATAAGCTGGGGACAAGCCACGATATAAAGTCTCAAAATTAATGGTTTTAAGTAACCAGTCACTTGGATCAAGGCTTCATTTAACATAACGTAAATTATTTGTTTGTATCGTTGATAGTGTGGCATAATTTAACATAATGTAAATTCTTTGTTTGAATCGTTGATGAAGTGTGGCATAATTTAACATCAGGTAAATTCTTTATTCTGGCAGCGGCCATGTTGAAACAATATTTTCACGCCGAGCACATGTTTGAACTGTAAAATCTTATTATTAACAACATTGTGTGTCATGTGGGACGTGCATTATTAGACCATTATTTGCACAGTGCCACATAATTGATCACATTTTTGGGAGACATATTTTTGATATATTTTTTTGGAACAACGCATTCGTCCGACGCCATTTTGAACCTCCAAATTGCCGCTATGTTGTTTTTTTGTGGGAATGTAAAACGATGGCCCACAATGCAGCTGAATAACTTCACTGTTAAAAATTAACCAATAACTTGAATGAATACAAAATATTAAACTCATGTAATTTTGTTAGCTTTGCAATTTTTCACCTCATACATTTTTTTTTCTATCTGACAATTTTAGCGTCAGTAATTTTCTTTGTGGTATAATTTAAATTGAACGTAAATTTTCATACTCTGCAGTTCCTAACCTACTGTGTCCTAACCTCACGTAATGTATTTGTTTGCGCAAGTTTTACTTCACATCAGATCTTTTTTTTTTGTTTCTATAAATATTTGCTAGTTTTTTTTTTTTCATGTAAATATTTTGTTGATGAATGTTTCCATAATGTAAATTATCTGATATCCAACAATATAATATAATAATCAGATAAGAATTCTTTGCTGTTTAAAAATTTCACGAGAGTGTATGGCGAATTGAAATGTTATTTATTGCTGTTTTGAAACTTTAACACTTGTTCATTTGTAGTTTAATATCAGAGTTATAGAAATTGAACATTTAACTGAAATTGAGGTAAATAACACAAAATACGTGGGGGAAGCGGAGTGCGCGGTTCCTTGCCGAGCTGGCGGTCGCCCCATCTGCACAAAAGATGCAAGTCTAGAATAGAAATCAGGGGCGGTCGGGATGACGTGACGCTGTCGGCTTCGCGATAGCCGGGACCCAACCGCAAGTTTGCGACCGTAACGGCCTGCTCGTCTAGGCACATTTCTTCGAGATAGAGAGGTGCTGGGCGGCAATGCTTTGCGATAGAATAGAATCACCGTCGTGGGTAGGAGAACAGCCACAACCAGGAGCCCCAAATTTCGTTCGTGCTACAACGCTCTCTATGTTGCTGCGTTCTTTTGTTAACTGCCATAATTTAAATTTCCACACAACGTAGGTTCCATTTTGTTAGAAAATCACAGCCAAGGCCAAATTTTTGAATTTTTCTCGGGCTTTTTTTATTCCACGTGTCAATTTAAGGTGGGATGTTTGGGCTAGCACAACACGTTTAAAATGGAAAAATTGTATAAGGAAATATCGATTTTGCAATTAGGCTCCATCCCATAAACATGGATATGTATATTAAGAAAAAAAAAAAGGAAAAATATAAGTCCCGCCCACCCGCCCTGTCTCAATTCTGATGATTTTTGTTATTCGTTGTTCTAAGTACTCGTGTTATACAAAGAAAACTAAATGTATTAATTAAAAAAGAAAAGTCGTGATGAATTTTTCATTCGTTGTCAGACCAAGGGGCGGAGCCTAATTGCAAAATCGATACTTTCTTACAAAAATTTTCCATACTTGGAACTGACATAACGTATCAAAAATATAAAATTTATTCTTATATAAAAATCCTCTAGCTTTACGTAATTCAGATGTTCAAATATAGATTCTATCTTAAATCTGTAGCATTCGCTGGCTCAACCATTTGAGTTGGTGACGGTGAAGTTGATCGTACTGGCTTTGGGTTCTAAAAAAATATAGAAGTTTTAAACTCTCTTTGCGCATGCGCAATTAAATATAATACCTCGAAAATAGAACTTTGAGTAACATTTTCGTAATTGAGAGTTGTGGTCATGGTGCAGTTCATTTCATCTGAACCATCTACACAATCGTTCTGACCGTCACATTGCCACTGCAGTGGTATGCAAATCCGGGAGCCTAATATGCACCCAAATTCGGTATCTAAAAAAAAAACAAGAATACCGTATTTCACTCGTTACACATGTGAACACACCTTTACAAGATGCATTACCACGGTCACAATACAACTCATCCGTTGTATCGTTGCAGTCAATGTCTCCATCACACTTATACTTCGCCGGAATACATTTGTCATTGTCGCAGCCGAACTGCTGCTCTGTACAGTTCAGTTCTGTCTTACTTGTTTCTAAAAACGCTTGTCGTTTTTGGTTACTTCAAAATATTAAAAGACGATTACCAAAAGATACGGGAGGTTTTATCGGGATAGTTGTACTATAACAGCCCACTTCATCGCTACCATCGCCGCAGTCGTCCACACCATCGCAAGCCCACCACGCGGCGATACATTTTTGATTGGGGCACTTGAACATCCACTTCAATTGGCAAGGTTCGTTCTGTGTCGGTCTGGTAGAGCAATTCATCTCATCTTTACCATCAAAACAGTCCCTAATACCATCACACACCTGTTTGTGTAAAATACACACGTTGTAACGTCCACCACACGAAAACTCTTCATTCGAACACGTTTTATTTTCACAGTTCATTTCATCTAACCCATTTATACAATCCTTCGTACCGTCGCATTGCTGCGTTCGCAGAATACATTTATTAAAGCCTAATTTGCAGTCAAAGTCGTCCTCTAAAAAATAGGAAAATATACCTCACAGTAAGAATCTCAATACACCTACTTACCTTCACAAGGTGCACAATCCTGCTCATCTGACTTGTCGCTGCAGTCGTATGAGCCATCACACCTCTTATACGATGGAATACACCTGCCATTATCACAGCCGAACTGCTGCTTTGTACAGTTTTGTGTCGGGCAATCTTTTTCATCTGACCCGTCTAAACAGTCGTCGTTGTGGTCACAATGCCACCGTGGGGGTATACATTCGCCGCTACCACATCTAAAGAAATCAGAACTACACATTTGAGTATCACACGTCACGAATTCGCTGCCACATCTAACAGGGTTCGTTATATTCGGAAGAGGTTTCGCGGGATTGACGTGACACGTTGAGTTTTTAAGTTCCATATCTGTAACAAAACAATTACGATAGAATGCAGCGGAATTAAAGTTACTTTTAGTACCGTCGGGACAAAGACAAGCTTTTCCCTTCCCTGGTTTTCCGACGCAAATGTGGGAGCAAGATGAGTTCGTGCATGAATTTGACCCAGTCCGAATACCATGGGCGTACAGCTTCAAGTCAAACAGAAAACGTTCACTCTCGAGGACCTCTCTACCGTCTGGACCGTCTTTATTTGAGCTAAAGATGGCATTGTTTCTCCATTCGGTCCAATATACTTTGTTTTTGAACACGGCTATGGCGACTGGAATAGTGACGGATTTACCGTAGCGGATTATATATTTGAAGTGGTGACCGTGGAGGTCGCTACTGGCTATAGAGTGCTCATCGGTGTCGACCCAGTAGATTCTCTCTGCGATATAGTCAACAGTGATACCATTAGGCCGTGAGAGATGTGGGTACCCGAAAAGTTTCTTTATATTTGTACCATCCAAGTCAGCACGATTGACTGCAGGATTTTCGGCGGACCTGTCCGTCCAGAACATGTATCCAGCTCTGGGATGTAACGCGATATCTTTTGGTTTCCTTAAATCGGTAGGTCCTACTACCGTACGTCTCATTATTCCACTATGACGAATGTCCGTGCTGATTAGTTCAATTTTTAACCTATTTGTGTCTACAAAGTATAAGTTGTTCGAAATCCAGTCTAACGCCATCCCTTCGATAATTCCCAAATCGGAGGAAACCAAAATTTCCGATTCGTTACTATTCAAACACTGCCGTTCGATGGTTTTAAAACCGTTGTCGGCCCAATAAACACAATTAGATTTGATGTCAAAATCGAAGGTTATTACGTTTTCGAGTTTCTTCAGTGGCAACGAGTCCAGTTTTTTCGTAATTAAATTGTATTTGCTAATATTTCTCTTTAGACTGACGAGCAAGAAAGGTTGCAGGTCACTGGAAGGGCAAGGGACTTCTTCTGGTAAGTACTGGTCTTCGACACCATCGATACACACATCGCCCGGAATTTTCCTGTAACCTTTGGTACGATTGTAAACTTCGTCGGGCTTACAAGTGAGAGGCACCTTGTATGGGTCGTCTACGATGGATGGATTTCGGACACAATGTCCCACGTCGGAACGAATAAAGCCAAAATCACTGAAACGTATATAGCTTGAAGAAAAAGATTAAAAATCAGAGTTATGGTTACCATAAGTAGTCGCGGAAATCGCAACTACAAGGCACTATTGAAGTGGAAGTGTCAAAATTTTCGCCACTGTAGCAATTAGCATGGCGATTTCGACGTTGGTGGGTTAACTGTTGTCCCAGAACGCATGAGATGTTGTTTTGATTGCTAGATGGCCAGGTGGTATAGTCCTCCTGAAGAAATAAATGCATTATTATTTTTAACAATAGCCCAGGTCCAACATTGATAGAAAACTCGAATCTGATTGGTGAATTTAAAGTCGCACGTCGTGTTTAACGTCAGCGGGGTGATTATAAATAAAGAAAAGCCGTATTTTCTCACCTTGGAGCAATTATACTTGAACGCGTTATTCAGTTCCAGTTTAAAAATGATCCACTGATTGTCTTTGGGTACGGAGCCAAACACAGTAAACACTGTCGTATTCTCTCCAGGTTCGGTTGTCAACTTGTATAATTTGATATTTTCACGATGAAATTTTGCCTGCAGCCACTTTTCCCCTTCATCCGTCGAATACAAAATGTGTCTCGTCTCCCTGTTCGATTTCGAATATTCGATAGCTGTCAAAATACCACCATGGTCGCCCATACTGAACAAGTACGAATCATTGAGTGCTTGTCTCCATGTCAAGCCGGCATCGGTACTAACATAGATTCCACGGTGTCCATCCAGGGACTTCCCCAGAACGCCGGTCGCTATAATTATACCCGGAGCGGACTTACTCGATAAGATACTGGTAGATCGATTGCTAGAGTACCGTTGGTTGAACTCCAGGTTTAAGTGTAATGAACAGTTGTGAACTGAGCATGAAATCGGGTGACCGTCGACGTCTCGTTCTGGAGCCTGGATCAAACGCCACGTTTGACCATGGTCGAAAGTAATGTACGAACGCAGATTCGACAGACTGACGTTGTTATTTTCATTGTTGGGTACGACTCGAGAAGCTATGTAGATTCCAGAGAGACCTTCGACTTTGTAGATGTCGGCAAAAGCGTTTTCAGGGACGCGACTGGAATACAAATACAATTGCTTAAAAAACTGGCGCCCGAGATTAATTTCGTAAAAGACGGAAAAACAAAAGTTGTCAGTTACAACATTAGAAGTTTTCTTACTGTATCCAAGTGTAGTTCCACGTGCTGTTCAGAAAATAGCACAACACATTCTCCAGAGACAATGTAAACGTGGCCACCTCATTTCCGTCGTCTAAATAATCAGAAACATATAAATGTGAAACGATATCCGAATCGCTAACCACCACAAGCGCTCTGTTACTCGTGACGTCTACAATAAAGTAACTCCTAATATCCACTTTAGTCTGAAACAGACTCCTTTTTTCCTTCCCCAGCTTGTAAGAAACATACAGTTCTAGAACCCCTGTAGGAGACACTTTCGTGGTGAAAAGGTAGTCGTCTCTGACACAAAAATCTGAGATATTTGTAGCCCGAACTATGCCCGAACCATTTAAAAATAAGTCGTTCGAATAGAAGATGGTGTGATAACCATCAGTTTCCATCCTTTGCACGACCAGACTATGAAGGGAATCGTTTTCCTTCACCCAGTGAAAACTCCTGACCGAGTCCTGCATTTGTCTGAAAGTATTTCCAAAATCTTCGGTCACCCACAATCTGTGTAGTTGATCCAAAACAATGAACACTGAGGGTTCAATTTCGTGGAACGAAACTTGGATGGGACTAAAATCCAACGTGATTTTTTTAATGTCTTGGCCGTGGTTTGTCGTAACGAAGAATAAATTGTTTTTAATATCTGTAAACACCAGCTAGAAGCAAAAGAAGTATAGTGGAGTGAGCGCTCTCTGTCGTTGGTGATGCTCACGTGAGTGTCGTACGTCGGGTGTTTGTAGAACTTCTCCAAAATAGCATAAGTCTGATTTGATACTTTGAAAAGATTTGTTTTGTTTTGGTAGGAGTTGCCATCGTCGTATGAAATATAAAGAGCTGTAGGGTCTGGGTCACGTGCTAGACAAACGATGACTTTGCTTCCATTGCCCACCCAGTGTACTACCAGCTGATTGTGGGTGTCTTCCAAGTGGTTAATCTGAAATTAAAAAACAATGAGAATTAGTCTTGTCAAGAAAGTTATTCGATGTACTAATACGATAAAATAATGCAGAGGAGATTTGAACAGGGAAAGTTAAGGGGTTATGGTCGGCAAGAAATTAGTTGGTCTTCTGCTACTAAAAACTATGAATTAGATTTTGGTCACATTATTAGTAACAGAACGAAAATTTTTCAAAAATCCGTTCATTGATTGTTGTCACGTATACAGTTGTTTAACTGGTTGCATTTCGCTGATACACCACGTCACAGTACATTAATGAAAACATTATTTTCGAATGCTTCCAAAACTCCACGTAACCAAGGGGCATTGTCCTGATACCTTTTTTAAAAAATAACTCGGGAAAAGTGTTCTGAACTTTATATTTAAAAGTGGCTTGGGTATGTGATATAAACTGCATTGATTAAAACTTTTGTTGTGGTTCACCTTGACTACATTCAGCTGAATACCAAGAAGTGCTGAAAATAATCATTACGTAACAACAATTTATTGTTTATTGTTACGAGAAATAAATTATCACTTATGAGTTCTCACTTACTACAAGCATAATTAGCTAAATACCTTCAGATCTAAGGTGATGTCGTCCGTTGAAGCTTCTGTACCATGGGGGTGCGAGGGTTCATCTCTGTCAATAATTACTGCATGTTCTCGTCCTTGTTGACGATTGGAGCATCCATGCAATGTTTTCTCGTAGTTATCGTGTTCTGCTTCTCCATTAGTTAAAAAAAATTGACACACGACCAATAAAACACTGACGCTCTTCATTGTACACCGGTCATGACAACAGTAGGTAAATAAATGAAAAAATGTACTCGATAAGTTCAACTTCAGTAAACAAATACAATTACATAATATGCAACGAACGAATATTCACACAAAACTAAACAGTGGATTATGCAGTAGTCACCCCTGCCACCCTGTGATGATCATCTGACTCAACCGGTTTTTGCTGAAAACGAATAAACAATCGTGTCGCAGTTAATGAGATGGTGGAATATAATTATTAGGTCAACAACACAAGTAGAAATGCAAAGTGGTCCCTGATTTGCTTAAAGATCGAAACTTCTTGTGCCTTAAGTCATATTACACTAATAGGATTTGTTTTTACTTATGTTTCACAAACCAGAAAATTTATTTGTGTGACTTCTGCAAAGTAATGCTTCCTGGAGTAAAATATGTGAACAAAAAGGAGGAGATACATTGAATGGAAACTGAAGTAGTTACAGGACAATAATTTCCAACAAATACAATTTTTAATTATTAATGCATTTTTATTAAAAATGAAAAATACAAAATGTATTCTTGTATAAATGGACATATAGTGTAATAAAATCAAAGAGTGAAGGTATGGTTTTTGCTTTCTGACATATGACTTTATAAATGACAAATCCAAAGGTCTTCCAGTGTCTATTTTAAATCTGTTATATTCACTGGCTCGTAAATCTGACTTGATGATGGTGAAGTCGACTGTACTGGCATTAGATTCTGGAAAAAGTATACCTATATGCTGTAAACACGTTTAAAAAAAACTTTCTTTGAGCATATGCAGCAATATTAGAGTCAAATATTGACTTAACTTAAGATAAGACGTATTTATATGTATAGGTCTTGAATCAGTTATAGTGTAATTAATTAAAACTTAAATTAAAATCTAGTTTTATACCACGTTAAGCAGACGGTACTAAATACACCTCACCTGAATGATCGGAACAGTAACATTACCACGTTCGGGCATGTTCGTCGTACAGTTGTTCTCATCTTTACCATCTAGGCAGTTTATAACACCATTGCACACCCACGTAGATGGAATACATTGAAATTCATCACACGCATACTGTCCTTCCGGACAAGTATTTCTGTCGATGCAGCTCATTTCATCAGATTGATCTTCACAATCGTCGTAGCCGTCGCAACGAAAATCTAGGGGTATACAGACCATAGAGCCAGATATGCAGTGAAATTGGGTACCTAAAAAAACGCACATAAGGAGCCTAGCTCATTGTAAATGTCAATATTTACTGTTGCAAAAAAACGTGTCAGCATCAATGACCGAGGTGGGTTGCATGGTCGTGGTTGTTGTGGTTGCAGTGTTATGACAGTTTATTTCATCGCTACCATCGCCGCAGTCGTCCACGACGTCGCACTTCCACTGGGAAGGAATACATTTTTGGTTGGCGCATTGGAACACCCCGTCGTGTTCGCAAGTTTTGTTCTGTTAAATAAGTACCCAACGAATATGTTAAACATTCTAAATATTTCAATTACAGGCTAGATATACCTTGGGTGATGAGGACGCGGTAGTCGTGCAGTTCGCCTCATCTCTACCATCAATGCAGTTCTTAGTACCGTCACAGACCTGCACTTTTTTAATACACCCTAGGACATGCTCGCGTCCATAACATGGAAACTCTTCCTCCGAACACGGCATATTTTCACAACTCAATTCGTCTAATCCATTTACACAATCTTGTTTGCCATCGCATTTCTTCGTCTGTGGAATACATGTATCAAATATCGTTTGGCAGTCAAACTCATCGTCTAAAAAGGGCCAATAATCATCTTTATTCTCTACGAATCTCTCGCTACTTACTTTCACAAGGTGAGCAATCCTGTTCGTCTGACTTGTCGACGCAGTCGTAAAAGTTATCACACCTCCACATCATCGAAATACACCTGCCATCATCACAGCAGAACTCCTCCTGTGTATACATTTTCGAGCAATTTTTTTCATCTGACCCGTCGTAACAGTCATTTTTGCCGTCACATTTCGATCCAATTGGTATACAATAGCCGTCGGTGCACCTGAAGAAATCGTCGCTGCAACTCTCCTGAGGATCCATTAAATTAACGAAGGGCTTCGTTGTTTCGGGAACACACGTTTCATTTTTGAGTTCCATCCCTGTAGCGAAACAAATGATGTGAGTTCTACTTCACGCATCTCAGTAAAGTGACTTTTCGTACCGTCTGGGCAAAGACACGCTTTTCCTTGGTCTGGTTTCCCGACGCAAATATGCGAACAAGATGTGTTCGTGCAAGAATTGGTACCAGTGCGAATACCATCAGCGTACACTTTTAGATCTAACTCATTACATAGTCTCGCGAGGACCTCGTGTCCACTTTGAAAATCTTTATCTTCGCTAAAGATAACGTTGTTTCGCAATTCGGTCCAATAAATTTTGTTTTTGAAGACAGCTACACCGAATGGATGACCGAAATCGTTAACTTCAAAGAATAAACGTATGAAGTGGCCACCGTTTACGTCGCTACTGGCCATATAGCCCTTGTCGGCGTCTACCCAGTAGATTTTTTCCTCGGCGTAGTCAACAGTGATACCATTAGGCCACCTAACTTGTGCTTCTCCAAAGAGTTTCCATATGTTTGTGCCATCCAAATCAGCACGATTAACTGAAGGATTTTCGACGGACCAGTCCGTCCAGAACATGTATCCAGCTTTGGGATGAAGAGCGATACCTCTTGGTTTCCTTAAATGGGTGGGTCCTACAACCGTACGTCTCATTCTTCCACTGTCACTAATATCCGTTCTGATCAGCTCGATTGTCGACCTTTTTCCATCCACGAAATACAAGTTGTTCGACATCCAGTCTAGCGCCATTCCTTCGATTAAGTCCAAATTGGTATTAACCAAAATTTCCGACTGTCCGTTATCTATACACTGTCGCTCGATCGTTTTAAAAGTACTATCGGCCCAATAAACACAATTACTTTTCATGTCAAAATCGAAGGTTATCACATTCTCCAGTTTCTTCAGGGGCAACGGCTCCAGCTTTTTCGTAATTAAATCGTATTTACTAATATTGTTTTTTTCACTGACAAGCAAGAAACCCTGCAGGTCACTGGTCGAACAGGGGACCTCTTCTGGTAGGTAGCGGTTTTCGACACCATCGATACACACATCGCCCGGAATTTTCCTATAACCTCTGGTACGATTGTAAAATTCGCCAAGCTTACAAGTTATAGGCACGTTGTATAGGTCGTCTACGATGGATGCAATCCTGACACAGTGTCCCTCGTCGGAACGGACAAAACCAAAATCACTGAAAATTAGGATGACGAAAAAGATTAAAATCAGTGTTATTGTTACCACAAGTAGTCACGGAAATCGCAACTGCAAGGCACTATCGAAATGGAAGTGTCAAAATTTTCGCCACCGTAACAATTCGCATGGCGCTTTCGACGTTGCTGGGTTAACTGTTGTCCCAAAACGCATGAGATGTTGTTTTGATTGCTAGATGGCCAGGTTGTATAGTCGTCCTGGAGAAATAAATGAATTATTAGTTTTGACAATAACCATGTCCAATATTTGTAGGAAACTCGGCTCTGATTGGTGCATTTAAGGTCGCATGTCGCTTTTAACGTCAGCGGGGTAAGTATAAATAAAGAAAAGCCTGATTTTCTCACCTTGGAGCAATTATACTTGAACGCGTCACTCAGTTCCAGTTTAAAAATGACCCACTGATGGTCTTCAGGTATGGACCCAAACACAGTAAACACTGCCATATTCTCCCCCGGTTCGGTCGCTAACCCGAATAACATAATATTTTCACTATGAAACTTTGCCTGCTGCCACTTTTCACCTTCATCCGTCGAATACAAAATGTGTCTCGTCCCCGTGTTCGATTTTGAATATTCGGTAGCTGTCAAAATACCACCATGGTCGCCCATACTGAACAAGTACGAATCGTTGAGTGCTTGTTTCCATGTCAAGCCGGCATCGTTACTAACGTAGATTCCGTGGTGTCCATCCAGGGACTTCCCCACAACACCGGTTGCTATAATTATACCCGGAACGGACTTACTCGATAAGATACTGGTAGATCTATTGCCAGAGTGCCGTTGGTTGAACTCCAGGTTTAAGTGTAATGAACAGTTGGTGTTCACTGAGCATGGAATCGGGTGACCGTCGACGTCTCGTTCTGGAGCCTGGATCAAACGCCATGTATGACCATGGTCAAAAGTAATGTACGAACGCAAATTCCAGAGACTGACGTTGTTGTTGTATAATTCAGTGTTGGGTACGACTTGAGAGGCTATGTAAATTCCGGAGAGACCTTCGACCTTGTAGACGTCGACAAAAGCGTTTTCAGGAACGCGACTGGAATACAAATATAATTGGTTTTATTTTCACATAACGACTATATTTAAAAAAACTGGCGCCCGAGATTAATTTCGTAAAAGAAAGAAAAACAAACGTTGTCAGTTACAATATTACAAGTTTTCTTACTGTATCCAAGTGTAGTTCAACGTGCTGTTCGGAAAATAGGACAACACATCCACCAGCGAAAACATAAACATGACCACATCATCTTCATTGTCTAAATAATCGGAAACATGTAAATGTGAAACGGTATTCGAATCGCTAACCACTACAAGCGCTCTGTTACTCGTGACGTCTACAATAAAGTAACTCCTAATATCCACTTTAGTGTGAAACAGACCCTTTTTTTCCTTCCCCAGCTTGTAAGAGAGATATAGTTCTAGAACCCCTGTAGGAGACACTTTCGTGGTGAAAAGGTAGTCGTCTCTAACACAAAAATCTGAGATATTTGTAGCCCGAACTATGCCGGATCCATTTAAAAATAAATCGTTCGAATACAAGATGGTGTTATAACCATCAGTTTCCATCCTTTGCACGACCAGACTATGAAGGGAATCGCTTTCCTTCACCCAGTGAAAACTCCTGACCGAGTCCTGCATTTGTCTGAAAGTATTTCCAAAATCTTCGGTCACCCATAATCTGTATAGTTGATCTAAAGCAATGAACACTGATGGTTCAAGTTCGTGGAACAAAACTTGGATAGGACTAAAATGCAACTTGATTTTTTTAATGTCTTGGCCGTGGTTTGTCGTAACGAAGAGTAAATTGTTTTTAATATCTGTAAACACCAGCTGGAAGCAAAAGAAATATAGTGGAGTGAGCGCCCTCTGACATTGATGGTGCTCACGTGTGTGTCGTAAGTCGGGTGTATGTAGAACTTCTCCAAAGTGGCATACATCTGATCTGATTCGTTTGATACTTTGAAAAGGGATGTTTTGTTTTCGTATGTATCGCCATCATCGTATGAAATGTACACAGTTGAGGGTTCTGGATCCTTGGTAGGATTGGGGTTACGTGCTAAACAAATGATGACTTTGCTTTGATTGCCTACCCAGTGGACCATCAGCTGGTCATGAGTGTCATTGAGGTGATTAATCTAAAATCAGAAAACTGCTGTGAAAGAATTAGCTTGTATTATTTTTAAAACAAAATACTCTCAATTGAGTCATGTGTGAAAACAATCTGTGAACGAATTTTGTCAAAGTTTTCGTTTTAAATATTATCGCCTGATATGTCCTAATGATTTTGGTAATGTGGTGTAAAAAAATTTAAAAAAAAAGTGAAATATAGGCAACCAGGTGCACGTTAGCGCTTTTTAGGTAGTGGGTAGTTCTGCTGGGAATTTTAGTTAGAGGCTTGTAGAAGAGAGCGGCTTGGTAGAAGAGGGCGGCTTAGTAGAAGAGGGCGGCTTGGTAAAGATGGCGTCTTGGTAGGGAGATAGACTTCACTTTTGGTGTGTTGTTGTGAGTGAAAACCACGTGGTGAGTTAGCTAGGTTAAGTTAGTTGCTTTGGTAGTTAACAAAAGAGAGGAAGCCTTTGTTTAACAACAATAAATCGTAACGAAGACGACGCCACAGTTTTTCCAACACGCGTAGCTAATTCTTGCGGTCTAATAGGAAAAATGCGAACTTTCGATCGGCGCTAACACGTTGTATAAATTTGTTTTATTGATTGTAAATTCACAGTTCATGTTAGGAGTTTAATCGTCAACTAGTTCCAACACAATTTAATAATCAAGAATTTGTTTAGATAAGCACTTGATGGACTTTTCCTGAAATTCACTTAGTTAGGACTGGTATGATTGTTTTGTCTAATTATGAATAAGTTTTTGATTTGCTCTCTCCATCATTCTTAACATAGGATGATATTTAGTTCTGTCGGTACTAGACACAGAAATTATGAACGTCACTGAACTACGCGTAATACGACTATTGCCTGCAGAAATTAAGAACGTTAACTTACTTAACAGTAAAGAATTGTCAATGTTACCATTTATGAGACAATGGAGAAAGCAAATATTCGACATACAACGCCTATCCTCAAGCGAAGAAACCTCTTTTGAACTTTTTCTGGTAGATCACAGTCAACTCTGTAATATGGATTCCATACCGGGGAACAGTATTCAAGATGAAAACGTACAAATGAAGTGTACAACAATTTAATGTACCACTGAGACAAATCATAACAATGACGCCATATGAAGCCTAACATTCTAATTGATTTATTATAAATATGATAATAATGTTGTTTGAATGTAAGGGATGAATCAAAAATAACGTCTAAATCCTTGATTTCTTTCACACGAGCTATCGCAGATCTTTCTAACTGATAATTAAAAGTTACCAATGATTTAGTGTTGAGGAAGGAGATCACATAACACTTTTTGAGATTTCAAGGTAGTAAATTGCTAAAAGACCATGCACGTAATCTATTAATGTCAACTTGCAATTCCATTGCGTCACTCATAGACTGAACAGATTTTTCAATAGCTTCAAATCGTCAGTATATAATAAAAAATTCCAATTGTGAAAGCAAGATGTTATGTCATTAATAAATAACACGAACAAAATAGGACCGCAATGTGAATCTTGTGGAAACCCCGATGTTACAGAAAAGGGAACAGATAAGTGATTCCCAATTCTCGCCTGTTCAGAACTTCGTGTAAAAATCGCAGTGAATTTGACCATTAAGTTCGCTATATTCTTTGTGTACGACGTAATAAAGATTATCAACTTTATCTAACCTTTGAATATTAATAGAAAAAAGTTTACTGTTACTCTGTTTACCGACTTGTGGAATGACAATAACTTTTTCACCACATGGCACAATTTCAAATAACTTTTAAAAATAAAATTTTGTAACACCATAGTGTTAAAAATTGTCTGAGAAGTCGCTCGAGCAAAGTTTGATTCTGTGCTATTTATTAAAATTCCAATTCCATTGTTCGGATTTTATTCCAACCAGATTTTTTTGTTGTACTGGTATAAATATGTAAGTAGTTAATTACCTACCCTCGAAACTATGGTGTTGCTATCCGTCGATCTTTTTACAACCGGGGGAGAGTGGAAGAGTTCATCTCTGTTAATAATTACTGTGCGTTCTACTCCTTGCGAAGGCTCAGAGCATCCATGTAATGTTTTTGTGAGTTCTGCTGCTCCATTATGTAAAAACAAATGGCACACAATCAATAAAACACTGGTGCTTTTCATTGCACACCGATCATAACAAAAGTAGATAAAGAATTGCAAAAATGTACTGATATGTTAAATTTGGTAAACAAACCGAAAGAGGAGAAATTAGGGGGTCACCTTTTTCACCCTGTCGGTGATAAGATGACGTCATCGGTTTTTACTGAACATTTGTAATTAACTGCGTTTCATTATAGCACGGAAAACCGAAAGGAATATAAGTAGAAACGATCAAATTGCTTCTTGTTTGTTTTGTTGAAGAGAATACTGCCAGTTCAAAACATCCCAAAACATCTTTTGTAATTTTTAGGTGTCATTAGTTGTTGACACCTTGGTTAGTGAGTCACTCTTATGGAATTTGTTTTGTCTTATCCCACATTCCCAAGGAATACATGTTTTCATTGTTTATAAATTTTGTTGAAAGTTGGTTTATAAGTTCACAAAAAAGTGGGGTAGATCTGACGTACTGTTAGTTGCCTATGCAAGTTTCGTCCTGTAATACTTATTATATCTACATCATGATACTATTTGTTACATATGTTTATTAATGTTCAAATTATAATGGATTAATTCTCATCCGAAAACGTTTTATTTTCACAGTTCATTTCATCTAAACCATTTCCACAGTCTTCCTTAAAGATATGATATGAGGAGATACTTTCAATAGAAATTGAAGTAATTACAGCAGCTGCAATTATTGCAACAATAATTTCCAACAAATACACTTTTAAATAAATAAATAAATAAATAAATACTTTATTCCCAACAGGCTAATATACACCCAATTACAGGGAACGATGTAATTAAAACTAAAACATTACTTACATGATGTTATAACTAAAAAAAATAATTAAACTAAATAATCACTTAATTAATACCATAAACTTCCAATATAGAATTTTGCAACATTTTAAAAGAATTAATATTTATGTCACAAACTTCCGCTATCCCATTACATAAGTCACACATTAAATTAACTGGAGATTTGCGTAAAACATTGGTTCTATTCGCTGAACAATAAAATATAGTACTCTGTCGAGAGTTGATTCTTGGTACTTTAAAATTGAGTTTATTAAGCAACTGGGGCACATCAACTTTATTATTCAGCATATTGAACAAAATCTTGACGACAGTAACAATTCTTCTAGTTTTTAATGATACAAAATTAAATCTAGTCAACAAATTTAAGTGACTAAATCCTCTTTCCGGATAGAATCTGTCTAAACGAAAACATAAAAATTTGAGGAATTTGCGCTGTACCAACTCTAAATTATTAATATGGACATCATATATTGGAAACCATATAAGAGCTCCGTATTCTAAGCGTGATCTTACCAAAGTAAAATATAGCGTGGATAAAGTATGAACGTTGCAAAAATCGCTACAATTTCTATAAACAAAACCGTACATCTTATAGGCTTGTGAAATATTAGTTGTTATATGTTCAACAAAGGTTAATCTGGAATCAAAAATTATTCCTAAGTCTTTGTAAGTATCCTTACGGCTTAACAGAATATTTAATATTTGATAATTAAAGATTAAGGGATTTTGTTTTTTTGAATATGAAACAATATAGCACTTGTCTCTATTTAGTGTTAAACGATTATCTTTACACCAACTAATGACAGCATTCACATTACATTGAAGAATTTTACAATCTTCGACAGACTTTATTTCCTTATATAACTTGAGGTCATCCGCAAATAGAAGTTTCTCACAAGAAATATTTTGAACAATATCATTGATAAATAGAAGAAATAACAGTGGTCCCAAATTTGAACCCTGTGGCACGCCAGATGTAGGAGTGAACACCTTGGAACAAAAATTTCGATATCTTACGACTTGACTCCTTTCACTGATATATGATAAAAACAATCGGAGTAATGAATCTGAAAAGCCGAACCCTCGAAGTTTGTTTAACAAAATAAAATGATCAATTTGATCGAAAGCTTTTCGAAAATCTGTATAAACTGTATCCACTTGGCTTTTTTTGTCCATTGCTTCAGAAGTGTATTGTGTGAAACACGCCAGATTTGTTATTGTAGATCTTTTTTGCATAAAGCCATGTTGATCTTGCGATATAAAACCTTTCACTGAAGAGTAAATCTGCTTGTACATAATCGATTCAAAGATTTTTGCAAAATTACATAAAATACTAATAGGTCGATAGTTCTTTACATCACTTGTATCCCCTGACTTGAAAATGGGACAAACGCATGCTTTTTTCCAAATATCTGGGATTTTACTTTGTTTCAATATTAAATTAAAGAGTTTTTGTAGAGGCTGAGCAAAGATTAATGCGCAATCTTTTACTAAAAAGCTGGGAATACCATCAGGCCCGGTCGTAAAAGAATCCTTTGATTTTTTTAATGCCACGAATACATCATCTTCAGATATGGATCTTACATTTACGAACAGTTGCGCAGCAACTTCATTGTCAGTGGTTGATAAATTACAAGGTTTGGACTGAATATAAACTTCACTGAAGTAATCACTGAACGCGTCCACTATTTCATCAGGAGAAGAAAACTCAATATTGTTGTAATGCATCACACCAGGAATTCTGCTGTGACCTACTTTGTTATGTACAAATGACCAAAAACTCTTAGGATTTTTTGATATATCCTTTTCAATTTGATGTAGGTATTTTATATAGGAGGCTTTAATTAAGTTCTTACAGCGAGAACGGTATACTTTAAACAAACTGTGATATTTTTCAGTTTTATGTCTTCTATATAATTTCAACATATTAAATTTACTTCGAATGGAGTTAATTATTTCTTTATCAAACCACGGGGGATACTGATTATTACGAGCTTGTTTACGGTACTTAGGAACTGTTTTATTAAAAATTGATTGTAGTTTATTATAAAAGAGAGAACATGCTTCATTGACACTAATATTTTGATGCAGAAAGTCCCAATTAGTTGATAATAGCATCTCGTATAACAAAGGAAAGTTGGCCTTTCTAAAGTTAAATTGTTCGCTGTGACTGTTCATAGGAAAAAACTTGTGCGATTTGATATTAAAATTTACACATATAGAAAGAGTAGGATGATGAGCGTCTTCGTCAACAAAGATTAGGTCGGAAAGCTCAACTAGACAACCAATATTAGAAAAAACTAAGTCCAATGTATGTTGTTGCATATTTTTTATATTGTTATTTTGAGAAAGATTATGAAATTCTTTAAAATTATTTAAAATATTATTTATACTTTTTTATTAAAAGTGAAAAGTACATACAAAATGTATTCTTGTACAAATGGACATATAGTGTAATAACATCAAAGAGTGAAGGCATCGTTTCTGCTTCCTGATATATCACTTGATAAATGGCTAAATCCAAAGGCCCTCGAGTGTCTATTCTAAACTTGTAACATTCACTGGCTCGTAAATCTGAGTTGATGATGGTGAAGTCGTTTGTACTGGCATTAGGCTCTGGAAAAATTATATCTATATGCAGTAAACAAGTTTTGAAAACTTTCTTTGCGCATACGCAGCAATATTAGAGTCAAATATTGAGTTAACTTAAGTCACTCCACCCTAATGAAAAATTTTCATGTCTGCCGACTATGGACATACCTGAATGATCGGAACAGTAACATTACCACGTTCGGGCGTAGTCGTTCTGCAGTTCTTCTCATCTTTACCATCAGCGCAGTCTGGTTGACCATCGCACAGCCACCTAAACGGAATACAATGAGATCCACCACACGCATACTGTCCTTCCGGACAAGCATTTGTGTCGGTGCAATTCAGTTCATCAGATCCATCATTACAATCCATTTCGCCGTCGCAATGCCACATTTGGGGTATGCAGCTGTTAGGACTAGATTTGCAGCGAAATTCTGTATCTAAATAAACACAAATAACAAACCTCGCTCATCGTAAATGTCTATATTTACTCTTGCAAGATGGGGTGTCAGGATCAATAACCGTAGTGGGTTTCATGGTTGTGGTTGTTGTGGTTGTAGTGTTATGACACATTACTTCATCGCTACCATCGCCGCAGTCGTCCGCATCGTCGCACTTCCACCAGGAAGGGATACATTGTTGGTTGGCGCATTGGAACATCCAGGCGTGTTCGCAAGTTTTGTTCTGTTAAATAAGTACCCAACGAATATGTTATACACTCTTTACTTTTCAATTACAACCTAGGTATACGTACCTTGGGTGGTTTGGGTGTGGTTGTCTTGCAGTTCATCTCATCTCTACCGTCTGGGCAGTCTATATCATCATCGCACACCCAACTATGGGGAATACATTTATTTTGAAGTCCACCACATGCATACTCTCCATATAAACAAGTAGCACAATTCAGCTCATCTGACTTATCCAAGCAATCATCGTCTCCATCACACTTAAATGTCGCCCGAATGCATAAGCCATTACGACAAGCAAACTCCTGCTCAGTGCAATTCTGTCGTTTGTTGCTTGTTGTTTCTAAAAAAATTACCTTTCTCTGATTATTATCAGACAATGTATCTTAAGTTTGAATAAAAGACAATTACCAGGATTCATGGAAATGGCCGTGGTAGATGTTTTGGTGGTATTTGTTGTGGTTGTGATGTTATGACAGCCCACTTCATCGCTACCATCGCCGCAGTCGTCTATACCGTTACACTTCGACCTAGACGTGACGCAATTTTGGTTGGCGCATTCGAACATCCCGCGGTATGGGCAAATTTTGTTCTGTTAAGTAAGCACCCAAAGAATATATTAAACATTCTGTATATTTCAATTACAGACTAGATATAGGTACCTTGGGTGGTGAGGACGCGGTAGTCGTGCAGTTCTCCTCATCTCTACCATCAATGCAGTTCTTAATACCGTCACACACCTGCACATAGTTAATACACCCTATGTAATGTCCGCGTCCATAACACGGAAATTCTTTCTCCGAACACGGCATATTTTCACACCCCACTTCGTCTAACCCAGTTAAACAATCTTTCTTACCATTGCACTTCTTTGCCTGCGGAATACATCTAACAGATCCCAATTTGCAGTCAAACTCATCGTCTAAAAAGTGCCAATAATCATCTTTATTCTCTACGAATCTCTCGCTACTTACTTTTACAAGGTACGCAATCCTGCTCGTCCGACTTATCGACGCAGTCGTATGACCCATCACACTTCCATATCGCCGGAAGACACGTCCCATTATCACAGCTGAACTGCGTCTCTGTACACTTCTTCGAGCAATTTATTTCATCTGATCGATCCAAACAGTCGTTTTCACGGTCACAACGCCACCGCATGGGTATACAAAATCCATTAGCACAGGTAAAATAATTAGAGCTGCAGGTTTTTCCAACACAATGACTCTCATCAGAGCCATCAGCACAATCCTTTTCGCCGTCACATTTCCATCTGTTTGGTATACAATGGCCGTCGGTGCACCGGAATAAATCACCCCTGCAACTGTTCTGGATAGGAGGGTTCACTAAATCAACGAAGGGTTTCGTTGTATCGGGAACACACGTTTCATTTTTGAGTTCCATCCCTGTAACGAAACAAATGATGTCCAGGGATTTCAGTAAAGTTACTTTTCGTACCGTCTGGGCAAAGACACGCTTTTCCTTGGTCTGGTTTCCCGACGCAAATATGCGAGCAAGATGTGTTCGTGCAAGAATTGGTACCAGTGCGAATACCATCAGCGTACACTTTTAGATCTAACTCAAGACGTAACCTCGCGAGGATCTCGTGACCACCTTGACCATCTTTATCTGCGCTAAAGATAGCATTGTTTCGCCATTCGGTCCAGTACATTTTGTTTTTGAAAACAGCTATCCCGAATGGATGACCGACATCGTTACCTTCAAAGATTAAATGTTTGAAGTGGTCACCGTTGATGTTACTAGTAGCTATATAGTCCTTGCCGGCGTCTACCCAGTATATTTTGTCCGCGGCATAGTCAACAGTGATACCATTAGGCCACCTAACATGTGCTTCCCCAAAGAGTTTCTTTATGTTTGTGCCATCCAAATCAGCACGATTAACTGAAGGATTTTCGACGGACCAGTCCGTCCAGAACATGTATCCAGCTTTGGGATGAAGAGCGATACCTCTTGGTTTCTTTAAATGGGTGGGTCCTACAACCGTACGTCTCATTCTTCCACTGTGACTAATATCCGTCCTGATCAGCTCGATTTTCGACCTTTTTCCATCCACGAAATACAAGTTGTTCGACATCCAGTCTAGCGCCATTCCTTCGATTAAGTCCAAATCGGTATTAACCAAAATTTCCGACTGTCCGTTATCCATACACTGTCGCTCGATCGTTTTAAAAGCAATATCGGCCCAATAAACACAATTACTTTTCATATCAAAATCGAAGGTTACCACATTCTCCAGTTTCTTCAGAGGCAACGGCTCCAGCTTTTTCGTAATTAAATCGTATTTACTAATATTGTTTTTTTCACTAACAAGCAAGAAACCCTGCAGGTCACGGGTCGGACAGGGGACCTCTTCTGGTAGGTAGCGGTTTTCGACACCATCGATACACACATCGCCCGGAATTTTCCTATAACCTCTGGAACGATTGTAAAATTCGCCAAGCTTACAAGTTATAGGTACGTTGTATGGGTTGTCTACGATGGATGCATTCCTGACACAGTGTCCCTCGTCGGAACGGACAAAACCAAAATCACTGAAAATTAGGATGAATAAAAAGATTAAAATCAGTGTTATTGTTACCATAAGTAGTCACGAAAATCGCAACTGCAAGGCACTATCGAAATGGAAGTGTCAAAATTTTCGCCACCGTAACAATTAGCATGGCGCTTTCGACGTTGGTAGGTTAACTGTTGTCCCAAAACACATGAGATGTTGTTTTGATTGCTAGATGGCCAGGTGGTATAGTCGTCCTGGACAAATAAATGAATTATTACATTTAACAGTAGTCCAAAACCAACATTCATAGAAAACTCGGCTCTGATTGGTCAATTTAAAACAAAGAAAAGCCTTATTTTCTCACCTTCGAGCAATTATACTTGAACGCGTTCCTTAGTTCCAGTTTAAAAATTGTCCATTGTTGGTCCTCCGGTAGGGACCCAAACACAATAAACATTGTCGTATTCTCCCCCGGTTCGGTCGTCAACCCGTACAACCTGATATTTTCGCTATGAAACTTTGCCTGCTGCCACTTTTCCCCTTCATCGGTTGAATACAAAATGTATCTCGTCTCCCCGTTCAACTTAGAAAACTCGATAGCTGTCAAAATACCACCATGGTCCCCCATATTGAACAAGTACGAATCGTTGAGTACTTGTCTCCATGTCAATCCGGCATCGTTACTAACGTAGACTCCACGGTGTCCATCCAGGGACTTCCCCACAACACCGGTTGCTATAATTATACCCGGAATGGACTTACTCGATAAGATATTGGTAGATCTATTGCCAGAGTGCCGTTGGTTGAACTCCAGGTTTAAGTGTAATGAACAGTTGGTGTTCACTGAGCATGGAATCGGGTGACCGTCGACGTCTCGTTCTGGAGCCTGGATCAAACGCCATGTATGACCATGGTCGAAAGTAATGTACGAACGCAAATTCCAGAGACTGACGTTGTTGTTGTATAATTCAGTGTTGGGTACGACTTGAGAGGCTATGTAAATTCCGGAGAGACCTTCGACTTTGTAGACGTCGACAAAAGCGTTTTCAGGAACGCGACTGGAATACAAATATTTGGTTTTATTTTCATATGACGACTATATTTAAAAAAAAACTGGCGCCCGAGATTAATTTCGTAAAAAAAAGAAAAACAAACGTTGTCAGTTACAATATTAGAAGTTTTCTTACTGTATCCAAGTGTAGTTCAATGTGCTGTTCGGCAAATAGGACAACACATCCACCAGCGAAAACATAAACATGACCACATCATCTTCATTGTCTAAATAATCGGAAACATGTAAATGTGAAACGGTATTCGAATCGCTAACCACTACAAGCGCTCTGTTACTCGTGACGTCTACAATAAAGTAACTCCTAATATCCACTTTAGTGTGAAACAGACCCCTTTTTTCCTTCCCCAGCTTGTGAGAGAGATATAGTTCTAGAACCCCTGTAGGAGACACTTTCGTGGTGAAAAGGTAGTCGTCTCTAACACAAAAATCTGAGATATTTGTAGCCCGAACTATGCCGGATCCATTTAAAAATAAATCGTTCGAATACAAGATGGTGTTATAACCATCAGTTTCCATCCTTTGCACGACCAGACTATGAAGGGAATCGTTTTCCTTCACCCAGTGAAAACTCCTGACCGAGTCCTGCATTTGTCTGAAAGTATTTCCAAAATCTTCGGTCACCCACAATCGGTGTAGTTGATCTAAAACAATGAACACTGATGGTTCAAGTTCGTGGAACGAAACTTGGATAGGACTAAAATCCAACGTGATTTTTTTAATGTCTTGGCCGTGGTTTGTCGTAACGAAGAGTAAATTGTTTTTAATATCTGTAAACACCAGCTAGAACCAAAAGAAGTATAGTGGAGTGAGCGCCGTCTGTCGTTGGTGATGCTCACGTGTGTGTCGTAAGTCGGGTGTATGTAGAACTTCTCCAAAGTAGCATAAATCTGATCTGATTCGTTTGATACTTTGAAAAGGGATGTTTTATCTTCGTATGTATCGCCATTATCGTATGAAATGTACACAGCTGAGGGTTCTGAATCCTGGGTAGGATTGGGGTTACGTGCTAAACAAATGATGGCGTTACTTCCATTCCCTACCCAGTGGACTATTAGCTGCTCATGAGTGTCATTGAGGTGATTAATCTAAAATCAAAAAACTGTTGTGGAAGAATTGGTTTGTATTATTTTTAAAACATAATACACCCAATTGAGCCATGTCTGAAAACAATCTATGAACGGATTTTGTCAAAGTTTTCATTTTAAAATATTATCGTCTCATATCTCCTAATGATTTTGGTAAAGATTTTTTTTTCCTAGAAACACTTCCTACTTGAGGACGCATCGTTTAAAAAAAAATACGTTAGAATGAAAACTTTTAAAAAATCTGTTCATAGATTGTTTTCACGTGTTGTTCAATTGTACAAAAAATTGGTTGCCTGTATGTATTGATTTAGTTAAATTTCGATGACGAAGTCGTTTGTTGAAATACAACATCCAAATTCGCTATAACTTAATACGATATACATTGCATGATTCATTTTCTGGGGAAGGATAAGGTGGAAACAAATTATGTCTAGAACTTCGGATAAAAATCGCAGTGAATTTGACTACCAAGTTCTTTATATTCTTTGTATATTGCGCAATAAAGGTTATCAACTTTACCTAACCTTGGAATATTAATAGCAAAAGTTTACTATTACTCTGTTTACCGATTTGTGGAATGAAGATAACTGTTTCACCACATGGCACAATTTCAAGACTTTGTAACACTATATTAAAAATGGTCTGAGAAGTCGCTCGAGCAGTCTTATTTATTAAAATTACATTATTGGAATTTTATTCTAAACACATTTTCTTGTTGTACCGCTAACATGTGAATAAATTGTCTCGATATAAACATGTAGTGAATTACCTACCTTCGAAACTATGGTGTTGCTATCCGTTGATCTTTTAACAACCGGAGGCGAGTGGAAGAGTTCATCTCTGTCAATAATTACTGTGCGTTCTAGTCCTTGCGAAGGATCAGAGCACCCATGTAATGTTTTTGTGAGTTCTGCTGCTCCATTATGTAGAAAAAAATAGCACACAATCAGTAAAACACTCGTGCTTTTCATTGCACACCGTTCATACCAAAAGGAGATTAAGAAATGAAAGAAATGCACTCTAATAGCTTGAGTTTGGTAAACAAACCGAAAGAGGCAAAATGTGTGCAATCAATTATGTTAAACAAACCTAAAAAAATGTAAATTACCGAGTCACCCCTCTCACCCTGTGGGTGATAAAATGACGTAATCGGTTTTTACTGCGCGTGGGTAAATAACCGCGTTTCAGTACAGCACGGAAAACCCAGATGTATATCAGTAGAAGCAGTCAAATTGCTCCTTGTTTTGTTGAAGAGAATACTGATAGTTCAGTCTTTGGAGAACCCAAAACGACTGGTATCATTAGTTGTTGATGTCTTCGCCAGTGAGTCAATCTCAGGTAACTTCTGTTGTCTTATCTCAAGAAATACACGCTTTCATTGTTTACAAATTTTATTGAAAGCTGGTTTACAAGTTCACAAAGAAGTGGGGTTTATCTGACGTACTGTTAGTTGCCTACACAAGTTTTGTCTTGTTATACTACATGATACTATTTCTTAAATATGTTTTTCTAATGTTTAAATAATGGATATTTAGTAAATTTGCATTTGCAAAACCATAAGTCGATTTATAAAATGTGATAACAAACAAGAGGCTAGGTGTTATTTCTTCTTCTTCTTACTGTAGGTCGTTCAGATGTTCCAATGATTCTCATAAGGAGGGTGAAATCCATAATGCACTACAGTTTCTATTCTAATATGTAGTATTCAATATAGTTTCTATGATTCGTCTTCTTCTTCTTCTTCTGTTACGACACCCTTCTTCATCGCTACCATCCCCGCAGTCGTCTATTCCGTCGCACTTCCACCAAGAGGCAACGCATTTTTGGTTGGCGCATTTGAACATCCAATCATTTTGACAAATCTTCTGTTAAATAAGCACTCAAAGATTGGGTTAAATATGTCTGTCTAAATATACATACCTCACGTTGTGTGGGTGAGGTAGTTGTGCAATTCGCCTCATCTCTACCATCAGAACAGTCTCTAATACCATCACACACCCGGTCATATAAAATACACACATTATATCGTCCACCACAGGAAAATTCATTATCCGAACACGTTTTATTTTCACAATTCATTTCGTCTAACCCATTTCCACAGTCTTCCTTACCATCGCATTGCTGGGTTTGCGGAACACACCTACCAGAACCCCATTTACAGTCAAATTCATCACCTAAAACAATGCCAATAATCTTCGTTTCCTACGTATCTCTCGATGCTTACTTTTACAAGGTGATGCACAATCCTGTTCATCTGACTTGTCCTTGCAGTCGTATGTGTCATCGCACCTGGCTGACGCCAGAATACATCTGTCACTGTCGCAACCGAACAGCTGTTTTGAACATGTTTGACAATCTTTCTCATCTAACCCGTCTAAACAGTCGATGGAGCGATCACAACGCCACTGCTTGGGTATACATTTGCCATCACAGGCAAACAAATTAGAGCTGCAGTTGTTTTGAACAGGATTAGTAGGAAGAGGGTGACACGTATTGTTTTTGAGTTCCATATCTGTAACGAAACAATAATGATTAACAGAGTATGTTGTAAGTGTGCAGTTTTCGTACCGTCGGGACACAGACAAGCTTTTCCGTTCCCTGGTTTTCCGACGCAAATGTAAGGGCAAGATGTGTCCGTACAAGAATTTGAGCCAGTGCGGACACCATGGCCGTATACCTTCAAGCCCATCGCGTATTGAAAAGTCCCGAGGATCTCTTTATCGCTTTGACCATCCTTATCTGCGCTAAACATGGCACGGTTTCGCCAGTCGGTCCAATACATTTTGGTTTTGAATACGGCAATGGAGAATGGTTGAGCGACGGCTTTATCTTTATAAATTACATATTCGAAGAAGTCACCGTGGAGGTCGCTATTGGCTATATAGTCGAAAGCCGCGTCTACCCAGTAGATTCTCTCCGCGATATAGTCAACAGTGATACCATTAGGCCACTTAACACGTTCTGCTCCGAAGAGTTTCTTTATGTTTTTACCATCCAAATCAGCACGACCAATTGAAGCATTTGCGTAGGCCCAGTCGGTCCAAAACATGTATCCAGCTTTGGGGTGTAGCGCGATGCCTCTGGGTTTTTGTAAATCGTTGGGTCCTAACACCGTACGCCTCATTCTTCCACTGTGATTAGTATCCGTTCTGATCAGCTCGATTTTCGAACTTTTTCCAAGCACAAAATACAAGTTGTTCGACATCCAGTCTAACGCCATCCCTTCAACATTTACCAAATCGGTAGAAACTAAAATTTCCGGCTTGCTACCATTCAAACACTGTCGTTCGATTGTTTTGAAAATGATATCGCCCCAATAAAAACAGTTACTTTTCATATCAAAATCGAAGGCTACCACATTGCCCAGTTTCTTCACTAGCAACAACTCTAGCTTCCTTGTAATTAAATTGTATCTACGAATGTTCTTCTTCTGACTGAGAAGCAAGAAATCTTGCACCTCACTGAACGGACAAAGGACCTCTTCTGGTAAGTATTGGTCGCCATCGATACACACATCGCCCGGAATTTTTCTATAACCTTTGGTGCGACTGTAAAATTCATACGGGTTACAAATTAGAGGCTCTTGGTAAGGGTCGTGTTTAATGGATGAGTTTCTAACACAGTGTCCCACGCTGGAACGGACGAAGCCAAAATCACTAAAAAGTACAAGTTGAAAAAAAATTAAAATTAGTATTACGTCACCTTAGAACTGGTTTGCCGCATATCCAGATCGCGTCCGAGGGATTTTCGCCTCTACTGCTTGGTGCAGATTTGCCGCATGTCGCACTTGGGCGAAGCGAAACATAGTTTAGATTCAGTGCTGATTTGCCGCATGTCCAAGCAGAAATCGATACAGTACCGTTATCCGTTTTTACGTACTTCCTTGCTGTTTTGCTTTTCAGCGTTAGGTTTGGGGTTGGGAAAGAAATCGTATTCAACTTCACGCGCAGAACAATAAGAATAATGTGAAATAAATAAAAAAGAGACTTAACAATTTTGATGAATCTGAAATTAAAAAAAAGCAACTGTAATTTGTGCAACTCTTTTTCTGTTGTTATAGATGTTACAAATATTTTCAAATTATTAGATTCGAAATTTTACAAATTTAAATTTCAAATAGATTTGTTGTTCGATAAACAAATAATTTAATTTTTTACTAAACAGTAACATTTTATTAACGATATTTCTACATCAATAATCACAAATAATAGATACATTTTTAATTTTTTAAATTAAAATGTTGTAAAAGTAATATGAAAATTAAAATTTCGAAGCAAAATCTGTTTAGGTGGATTTTGCTTCGAAATTTATTACTGGAACGTTTACAAAAATCAGCTTTTGACATAAAATGCTTGCAAATTTGAAACAGAATTGGAATGTTTCTTGACAATCATGCCTAATACATTTTTGACTTGTATCTTTTAAAAAGAATTATTTCCGAATTTATAGCTATTTACAATTTACGACTTACTTCAAGAACAAATTCCGTATTAGAATTTTACCTATAATAACTAAATAGATGTATGTTGTTAACTTATATAAGGTACCTTACATCGAAACGAGTAATTTGTTTTTTAATATGACATTGCCTTTCTTTATCATTCTATTTGTCTAACAATTATTGTTGTGCAATTATACGCGTGTAAATAAAAATAACTTTACAATAACTTATTTATGGGTAAATTTTTTTACCAATTAATTTAACTGGATGGTTATATGTAATGGTAATAATAGCCGCATAAAATTCACTCACTGTTTAGGTATACCAGATATCAAAAGCTATTAAATCCAAATGTTATTGTTTATTTTTTTATGTCTCGAGCGCAAGCTAAGGAAGTATTGTAATCAGGTTCATCGGGCGACTGGCTACTTTTATGGCTTCTCAACGTTTCATGACTCCTATAATGCGAAAACATAGGTCTCGCGTTTCCAGTTGATAAAACGCTGACCAACATTTGTAATCATCCTCCCCATTATATAACGTCATCTCCAACTTTTACAGCAATAAATGTTATATAAATTTTAAAAAATAACATACTTTTTCATTTGTTGTTTATTGAGATTTTACCCTAAGCATCCAGATTGAATTGAATTACCATAACCCTAATTTCTTGAGATTTTGAAAACAGGACATACTACATACATAAAGAAAGTTAAAAGAATTTGAAGTAATGTAATGATACTCTTTTTACATCAACATACTATTATTTATCAATTAATTGGGCATCGTCCAAAATACTGTTCATAAATTATAAGTGCAGGAAGTTTATGCAAAAACATGCAAATATATTTTTTGCGTATAATAATATGTATTGCTTTATTAATAAGTATCTACTCATTTATAAGAATTATTAAAATTAGTAAAAAAAAGTATTCAAGTCTCTGTCTAGTTTAATACCTTACCTTATTAAAATAATAAGTTTAATCAATTATGTAGTTAGCAAACAATGATGTTTAATTTATACTTAGTAGGGTTCACGGCATGTTTAATTCGGAGTTATAATTTGAGAATATAATTTACCCGTTTATTTATTTTTGTAGTTTAGTAGTACTTCAGCAAATTTAGAAAACTGTATGTTATTTAAAAATACGTGACAAATCACGAGGCCAGGCAATCTAGAGATCTGACTGTTGGTTTGCGCGGGAAATACTGCATACTTTTTAGATAAAAGGAGTCTATGATAAGCGCACGTAGGAGATCATAGACAGAGAGCTAATATTTAGAGCTAATGTATTGGAAAGAAATAGGACAAGTTTACGTGCGCACACCACAGCCTCCCTTTCTTCTCTAAACAGTTTGGGATCATACCACAGTATCATAAATAATAATTGACAAAGAGTTCGCAAAGGAATCCAACGGAAATATTTATACAATTGTTTACAACTACCAGTACAAATAATTCTTTCATTTTCAACTGAAAAGCGTATAACTATATTAAGTACTAGATATTATGGAGTTAGGGGTAATCAAATAGATTTGGGTTGCAGTCAACATAATTGTCACTGATACATAAGACATGGAAACGAATGATTTATTTCCAAATCCAAATATACTGCATTTACAGTTTTAAGCAGTATCACTGCTA